CTCCTTTGTTCCCAGCCTGTCGTACAATGACATCCTCTGCTGCGAAATTTGGCACTGCATGTCATGTGTAGGCAGTTCGCATGGAAGAAGTTTAAAGACATAACAATGCGTGCTAAACCCGCTAAACAAGAAGCAGGATATGTGACACAAGCGTGTTGCATTTAGGGGCTAACTGTAGCAATTGCTTTTCAAAACAGATGGCCTCCTACTTAAGTGTAAGGAGATGTTTGCACTTTCTCAGTACATGGAACTTATAGAACCACATTCCTTATCACCGGTTAAAAACGTACTATTGTGACTGAAATAGTTGGGGATGAGTTACGTATACTCATGAAGCTACTTCTGCTATTACTTGGAAAGTTGGGTAAACATCCTACAGTCAGGACTGCACATCTTAAATTTCAAAGCTGTTCTACATGCTCTTCTAGTATTCCCAATCGTTTAGATGAAAGAACTATATAGTAAAGAAGTGCTACTGGCCTCCGCGCCACCGGTTGTTCACTATGGAATTGTAACTAGCCCGGAGTGTAAAATAGCAATGGGCCCTGATTGGAGGCGCATCGGTTGTCCCAGTAGCTGTCCTTCATGATCTTCCAATATTCCCGGTCTTCGATGAACGTGACTTTGTAATGATGCGTTAAGCAAAGCATCCGACTTACGTGCATGTTTAACTTAGGGTGCGAAACTCAGATGGCCATGTATCCAACAATTAATGTTACTGTGTTAACTACGTAGGCCAACTCCAAGATTTTCTTTTTCCACAAAGCAATTGAAACTTTCACGTGCTTTAAATTGGGGGGGGGGGGCAATATCCATTTTTTGACTTAGCAAACGAAGTCGGATCCTTGGAGCTGCCAACGAGCCCTTGCGTCTTCATAGATGAGTATAACTCGCCCGAATGGCAAAAACAGCCACTGAGTAGAACAGTTCGGTTCTTGTTTGGCGCGTCGGTTGCAACGGATGGCTGTCCTAGATTCTCTTCCAAGCACTCGCGCACGCTCAGTCACCATAACTTTAGAAACGGACTTCCAATCTTGTTAATCAAAAACTCGCATGTTTTTTTTTCAGCTTGGGGTGGTAAACTTTTGCGACTGTGCAAGAATGTAGCTGACATCCGATATCGTTAGCCAAGCCAGAGATTGACACGTTCAACTCGGGGTGCCTAAGAATGAGGCGTGGGAAAAATTGAGCCACGGAATTGGAAAATTGGGTTGTTTTTTGGAAAGTCCGATCGGGATCGAGCTTTTCCAAAAACTTTTGAGGGACCAGGCACATAAAGATTGAGGGGCAAGATCCAATGTTGCTTGAAAGCCTAGATTCCGTGTATGAGGCCCGGAGGCGGGGGCACCATAGATCCTGAAGTTGTTGTTCTTGTGGGAAGGTTCCTCGAGTTTTTGTGTGCTCTTGTTTTCATCGTGTTTTCATCGTGTTTTCATCGTGTTTTCAGCCTAAATCGCAACACTCTCCGCTTCCAAGATCCACTTTCGAAATCTTTCGAAGCTGGGGGCAAATACACGTATCTGTATACATATATATATATATGCATATACATTATACATGTGTATATGTATATGTGTATATTTTATATTTAAAATTGGAGTTGTGCGCATTCTGTGCAGTCCTAACCCCGAGAGGCCTTGCAGCGTCGTTGCATTGTGCTGGGCCACGAAGTCGACAGCCTCCTGCTGCTCGCCGCGTACGGGCGATGGCGGGGCCGCACCCAAGCCCAGCAAGCTGCCCAACGTGGACTGGCTTTGGCAGCTCTACTGGGCCGCCCGCCCTGGCAGGAGCTGTGTGCAGGGATGTGAGGGAAGCGCAAGCACAGACCTCTGTGATGAGCGTTGTTGTGAGGAAGCTTGGCTGCTTTGGAGGCTGCTGGCAAGGGAAGCACGCGCAGCGCAGGCTCTGGAGCACACCGGCGTGCTTGTGGCAGACTGGAAGACCGCCCTACGATTCCGAAACTCACACCTGAAATGACCTAGAGTCTTAATCAGCATTGCCTTTGCAGCACCTGTACTATATCCATCCGAATGCTGCAGATCTCGCCTGGTACCTGGTAGAGCGCGCTCACTCTGCACGACTTGCACAGCAACGGCATCATCGCAGGTTGCCCTCCAAACCGCCGCAGCCGGTGCAAAGCAGAGCTGCCGTGACGCTACCCGCAGGCCAGCAATTAATTTAGTTCTGTGCTTCCTCACCACGCAAGGGCGCAAAGGGCGGCCTGCGTCAGTTTCTGAATAGGTTTGGCTTTGAATTTGACTTTATCGCAGCTCTGCTGCGAGCGCCTGTTGGTGGCCACCAGGTGCTTGCTCTCCATGACCTGCCTCCGCGCGTGGCATGCTCTTGTGGCGGATGCCCGGCGAACGATGCAGACCGCGGCGAAACAGAAGGACGTCCAGGCGCTTTAACTGCGGTTGTTTTCATATGTTTTCATGTTTTGAATGCCTGAGGAAATGTGAAGCATTTTAGGTCCAAACGAAACAACTCAGAACACCGCCCACTTGTGTCATAGTTATGTCAAAGCCCATGAAAGTACCCAAGCTGTGCTTCCGCTTTCGTCACCGGGTCTCAAGCAAACAGCCGTCTGTTGTTTTTCTCACTTCTGCAGGTGCTTCTAGAGTCGCAGAAGCAGCGAGCTCTTCTCCTGCTGGGGGGTCGGCACCTGCAGCGACCACTACTTCGGGCTCTCCGTGTTTGGCACGGGCTCCCATGCCGCATCATACTTGAAGCACCTCTCAGAGTCAAAGTGATGAAGTGATGAAAGTGCAGATTGTCACATGTAGAAGGAGAGCTCGGGCAAGAGATGACCCTCAATCACTGCGGACCCTGAACTCCACTCTTGCACTCATGCACGTGCCGTTCGAAGCGGCTCTGCGAGATGCGGAGTTGGCTGAGTTGGCTGAGTTTGCTGAGGTTGAGCCGGGAAGGCCGCTGGCGGGGCCGCATCGCGCAGCTCGTCTACACCAGCCTCCTCTTGCAGGTGCGCGCGCCTCCGGACTTGTCGGACTTTTTGGATTTCTCGGGCTTTCCGGAATTTTCCGGACCTGTGCATGCCAATCTCTTCCTGTCCGTGACCTCTGGAGTCCACGGCGGCGCTGCGGCACTGCTGGAGCCTCTGGCGCGGCCGGCTTTTGAAGAAGAGCTGCGCCTTGGAGTGAGATTGATACTGGAATATTTGGAATCCTAAGTAGCTTGTCGTTTCATTGTTGGTGTCACAGGTCGACAGGACTGCATCAACTTCTTTGGGGTCATCGGCAGGGGCCCCTGTCCGTGCCGCGTGTACTCGGTCCTGCCCGGTTGCTGTTGCGGTCCATTCGGGAAACTGTACGCCAGACTCATCTGCCTCACTTTGCAAATTTGAGATCTTTGAGAGGTGTAGGTTGCAGTGCAAATTTCCAAAAGCCCTAAAAGCTACCCCGTTCCAGGTTGGACCACAGGTTCGCTTGTCTGTTGCTGGCGTGCCTGGAAGAGCTGGCGCCTTGGAGCTGAAGTTGTCAAGCATCTCTCTCCCTAGTGGTTCGCAACTAGCTTTACTTGACTATCGCCTTTTGGGTTTGGGCGTTGAGTGTGAGCCATGTCTTCTCGAGGCCACTGCCGGCATTTAATTCGTTTAAGCTGATGTGGTCGACAACGAACTAAGTCCTGTCCAGGATGCGATAGGGCCGAATGTACCCCAAAACGTCGAGAGATGCAGCAGGCACGCTGGGCACTTGCGCTGTGCGAAGGCTGCGGCACTCGTCCGAGATGCCCTTCAGGAATTCTCGTGCTAAGCCAAGCAAGCAAGCGAACAACTTTGCTCATCTAGGGTAGGATCGTGTAGCCATCTCCATGAGTTTTTTCTTCCCATCTCCACCTGCCCGCTCTGGCTTCATTCTCTCCTCTCGGGGTAAATCTTGTTTCAGTGCCGGCTCCAGCAAGAGCTGGCGTGCAGGACAAGTCTGTGCAGAGCAGCTTCCATGCCTGGCGCGCTCAGTGCTTGGTTGCGCGCGGAGCCTTAGGCAGCACTTGGGAGGCCGTGACTGCAAAGCGTGCCTTTGCGCGCGAAACCTCGGACTGTATGGATCATGATCCTTGTTGCAGGTGCCGGGCACACATATCCTGACGCAGACGTTTTGTGGCTCATTTCGGGCGCCTCAAGGTTGCAGCCGGAAGACATCTCAAATTGTTCACACAGCTACGCAGTGCTTCTTCAAACATCTTCTCCTGCGTACACCTTCACAGTTACCTTCACAGTTACGGCGCCAACATCATGTCATGCCTAGATGCGGGTATGACAACACTTCTCTTCCGGACAGCCAGGCCACAAGGGTCACGACATGCTCGTTTCTCTTTCTAGTGACCTGCTTCTTCTTCGGATGATCAAAATAAAGCGACTGGCCACCTTGCATTTAGCTTCCGTGCACTCGGTTACTACTCTCTTGTTAAGTTGGTCACGTGCCCAGTCTCTAAGTAGTGCAAAGTACGGCCTGCGGGTTGTACTTCTATGTTTCAATGTTGAATGGTGTTGCTGCGGTTGAAACTCCGTTTTCTCATCTTGTTCATTCTGTTTTTTATGTTTGGGATGTTCCAAGCTTTCCAACCGAAGCCGCTAGCTGCAAGAGATCCGAAGCTTGCCCTACTAGTTTTCTTTAACTCTTGAAGTGTCGAACTTGGCCAATGCCTTGGGAGAACCATAGCATGGTATGCCAGGGACCTCTAGTTACTAGCTGATGTTTTCACTCAAGAGGGGAGAAATGGTCGATGGAAGCCCCCTCGAAGGCCTGTGACCAGCGATGAGTTCCTGCATCACCTGGGGACAGTGTGTAGTTTTCGCCGCGTGGTTGAGACGAGTGGTTTGCAAGGGCTTTCTACGGACGTGCCGGGTTTGTGTTTAGACCTCACAGCTGCCCACCTGCTTTTGGTGCCACAGTCAAGGTGAAAGACCCTACGATTTCGTTTATTCACCATGGGCTCGCCTGGTAATCGTGAATTTTGTGAGCCACGAGACTTGCAGAGACATCATGGATGCGGTTCTTGGCGACAAGACGTACATCAGCAAAGTGCAAGTGGTCTCTCGGCAGGGACGGGGGCAGGGACGGGGGCACCGGTGGGGAGCTAGGTTGCGTCCACAAGTGCCACTTTTGAAGACGTCGCCAGGCAACTTACCAAGGGCTCATTGCAAACCTGGCGACTTTCTGTGCCAAAGAGAAGAAGGCCACCTTGCATGCTGAGAGCAGTAATGCGCGTTTAGAAGTCGTTCAGGTACCGGAGGCAAGGAAGTGGCATGAACACCCTAAACCCTATAAACCCCGAAACCCTGGACCACTTTCTTCTTTCCCTCCGAGCAAAATACCATCAAACCCTGCCTGTGCTTCGGCCAGCTATGCGGGAGCGAAAAAAAAAACAACCCTAAGCTACTAAACCATCTCTGCAGGGCTCCGAGGCCAGCAAGCTGCCGCGCATCTTCCTGGCCGGTGGAGAGGTCTCCTTCGACTCCGCCGTGGCTTCCCTTCTGACAGAGGAGCCTTGACTCATTTTGGGTAGCTCCGGCTGCTCAAGATGTCATGGTGAACTAGGAAGCTAAATGCCATTCGCTCCTTCAGGCTTTGTTCAGGGCCAGACGGTTGTTTTGTGAGGGACGGTTTTTTCGATGAGGGGGCGGTTGGAATGTAGAATGCTTAGAATAATGTGTCTATTGATTTTTTTGCATGTATCCCCTGGCTTTAATCTAGTTGAGCTAGGTTAGCATGTTTGGGAAACCTGAGCTAACCCCCCATTCTGGGCAGGACGAGATCCATCAGCACAAGGTTGCACTGAAGATTGAGCCACAGAGCTGCAATTGCAGGGGGTCAATGTGGCTCAAAAGCTTTCAAAGCTGCTGAGCACTCTTCCCCGTAACCCTACACTCCAAGACGCTGCGCCATCATGCGCAACAGGAGTCGGATGAAGGCAGAGAAGAAGCGCGGCAAGCAGGTGGCATCGACGGACTTTACCGTGACGGGTATCACCATGAACGTTTCCAGGTTCAGAATTGGCATGTTTAGAACGATGTAGGACGGAGATAAGGAGACCCTCTGTGAAAATCCATGCCGCAGCACATTCGAAGAGCCAGTAGCTTATCTCCTAGAGCATCGGCCGTCGCCAAAACGCGTGCCTGATTCTTGTCCTTGAAGCGCCGCGCAGCCGACTGCGGATAAGTGACAAGTGTGTGTTTCAGGCACTTTCAGAATGTGTCTTGAGCCTACAGAGCCTCTGAAATTCGAAATCAGCAAGCCACTGCCTCCAATGCCCAAGTAAGTACCTGCAAGCGGGGGGCGGGGGCTAACTTCATCAACAAGCCTCAAGCATGTTCATATCCTTGAAAGGGTTTCACGTGGAAGGCGTGGTTCCTTCGGCATGCGTGTCTCTGAACCCTTGTACGGTTAGCCCCACTCAGGCTGCGGGTTCCACCGAGCCACCGAGCCTTGTCACTTCAGCTGTGGGTGCAAGTTGCAGTAATCATGGCACAGCATGTGTTGCATCGCCGATTAAACTCCTCAGCTCTACTCACTGCAAGAAGTGGCAGCCGAGGGTGATGCCTGGCTTGTCGCCCGGCAGAGCTAGTGGGACGTCCTTCGGAGTCCTTCGGAGTCCTTAAAAGCAACAGCATGGCATCTGGCAGCTCTGACGCTCAGGATGTCTGTACCCTCTCCCGCGGATGGAGTCCGTGGAGAAGCACCGGTATCGACAACCCAAGCTTACACAGACGAGTGCCCCGTGGCGGGAACATGGTGGGATCCAGAAGGGATGAAACAGCCAGGAGAAGTCCTTTTGCCCGAAGCCCAGGTCCCGGCAACGTGTTGGCATCTTGGAAGGATGGTCGCTGGGTCTTTGAGCTGTAAGGTTCCAAGGCAATTCTGATTTGCCCTGTCCAAGCTCTGAGTGACGAAATATCACTTCACGTCTTTTAATGAAGTTAGGAGACGGTAGGGTCTCGAATCATTCTCTTGCATAGCGGCCACATATGGCCATCCATCCGTTCGATTGTGCACTCTTCTTTCGAGGCTTCCCCCAGTCTGCCGATTAGTGAGTACTGAGTAAAGCTTAAAAGCACCTACCTCAACATGATAAGATTCGGAGGAGGACAGGCAGAAGCCTCCGGGAGCCTCTCAACTCAAATCCTTCTCGAGAAGATTCGGAGGAGGACAGGCAGAAGCCTCCGGGAGGCTCTTAACTCAAATCCCTCTCACACGAGTCTGACAACTCACGTGTGTTTATTATTCTCTGGTCACAGATCAAAGGCCCAAGGTTCTTTTGAACTAGTTCCGTTGTGCTGTCTGAGAACTTACGAGACCCTTACGAAAATTGGGATTCTTGCAGGGCCGAGCTGCTGTGACACAGGAAAGTGTGTGCCTGCATCCGACGGGTGCAAGTCACAAGCTGTTTTGGCGTGCACGATGCCCCTAGCAGCTAGCGCACAGATGTGTGCTGCTTCAGCTGCTGGGTGGCACGTGAAGTTCGCAATACTTCTCCACACCCGATTTCTTGTTTGGAGTGTATGACATGAGGGCTGAAAAGCCATCCGAAGGCGGATTGGCTCTCTGCGGCACAATTGCGCATGGGTCCGTCAACAAATGTTGAACCCATGAGGCAAACCTCTGCCTCGGAGCAGCCTGGGCATTGCTGTCCCTGGCCTGGAGCCAGCTAAGACGACGGCAGGGACAGAAATAAGGTGGAGGAAGTGACCAGAAGCTGTTACAAGTTTCTCTTGAGTCTGGATATGTGCTGCCAGTGGGATCCAGGTCTATTCAGGGTGGTTGATAGGACCTTTAGGAGACTTCCCCGCGCCTTAGCCTGCAACAGTAGCTAGGTCCTAGGTAGGATAAGGGGGACCCTTAAAGGGGAACCCTTCTGAACCCTCTTCTGGCTCTCTTAAACAGGGACCTTATTCAGAGGGTCTATATCCCCAAGGGTCCCCCTAATCCTAAACCCTACTAGGTCAGGCAATCAAGTTTCCATGCCGGAGGTGTGTCAATCTGAGTGCGGAAAAGTGTCTGCTGGGACTCCGTTGTCCTCGCGAGCTCGTGGTACTTGCTCCTTTTCGTTCTGTTGCATCTGCCTTATGGATGCTGGATTCTTGACCTCAGACCTGCAACCCAAGGAGGTGACCTCCTGGCCACGCGCCTCCGGAACTTGCAGGGCGCGCTCCAGAGCCCAGCGGCCCAAAAACCAGGGGCACTACCCGCTTGCGGTTTTTGGATTCAAGGGCTGGAGTGATCTGGAGTTATCTGGAGTTCCACGTGCTTTTGACCTAGAGGCCATGCTGGAACATATCCAGATGCAGATCAGGCACAGCAGCGGGTCGGCGCAAGACAAGTTTCCGTTTAAATGAGCAAGAATGTTTGTGTGCGGACGATCTGCTACTTGTAGCGTTTCGTTGGTTAGGTGTCCGGCGGTAATTGTAAACGCTTGCGCCCGCCGCCTCGGCAGCCGGGCCGGGCCCGAGCATGCAGTATGTGGAGATGACGTCGGCCTGGAGGCGCCTTCTAGGGGGGTCTTTTAAGGGGGGTCTCAGGGGGAAGGAGCCAGATTCCGCACGAAAGGAAGGGTTGGATCTGGGTCTGCTTGTTCCAAACGCTTACAGGTAGGAAGCCGACAAAGAGGGGGAGAAGGTTTTATGAAGGTTTGAGGGGCTGGCCAGGTCACAGGCCCGAGTGTTTCCCGTAAAGGTTCCCGCAAAGGGTAAAGGGGTGGGGGGGGTGGGGAAGGGTGGGGCAGGGTGGGGGGGGGTCACTACTGTACCGAGGCAGACTATCTGCAAAACGGAGCCAAACCAAGTGTAAAATCCACGGTCGCACGTGTTGAACGGGGGTCGCGGGCCTTGTCGAGAAATCATTGCCTTGACAAAGTTGCATGGCAGCGTTTTGATTTTGAATTTCGCTCGCGACCCCGCTCTGGTTCCAATATACGCAGCTTTGCGACCTGGGTACGGAGACCTGTTCGTACCCCATGCAAAGCGACGAAAACGCCTTCGAAAACCTCACAGGTTCCCAGTGCTGTCAAAGGATGTTCAATGAGAGGGGGTGAGTATGCACTAACCGTGGCCGACAGCTAGCAAAACACGCTGCCGGATGGATATGTGTTTCGTTTGTATACGGATCCGTACATTCGTTTAACCGCGCGGGCTGCGAGTCCAAATTAGGTGGGCAGCAACACAAACCTTGGCGAATGACGTCGCAGAATGGGTTCGCCAGATGGGGTTCGGTGCGTGGGTTGTGAAGGCGCTCCCCGACTCACATATGAAACTATATCAGATCTATAGGATGCTCCTAAGGGTAGTCGGCATTGGAGTGCTCCTTCCTGCTTGACGTCGGGCGACTTGTAGGGGTGATTCCTGAGCGTTTGCTCGGCTTGGACATTGGGGGGGATTCATAGTCTCGTGAGTCGTGAGAGGCGAAGACCAACCGCTGTTTGGTTTGCCTGCTGTCTGCAAGCGCACGCAACCATGAAGCTCGATAGCCAAGGCGCCACCGCCGTTTCTGGCCGCTTGCTTCTGGCCTTTGCTATTCGTGGATGGCGTTTGGCCCCCCGAACCAGGCGAGAAGAGAGGCGCAGCTTTGGGCTTGGGAATATCGCCAGTGGCGCATGTGTGACAATTTGGGGCAGAGCTTTATAAGTCTGAAAGCCACTTGAGAAAGCATGGAAAAAAGCACCACAACTCAGTGCACGAGGAGGCTGGTGGAGGCTTGGATCGCCACAGCGCAGGAGAGCAACTCGAAGTGTCAGAGGATTTCTCGAGGGCATTCTGGCGAATCGGACGCTTTCAAGCGCAGGTCTGAAAGGGTGCTGGTGAAATGCTTGTGGGGGTGCCGCTCGTAGAAACCATTAGAAACCGAGAGATCGACAACTTCGGCCCTTTGACTCCTTTTGTGTTGACATTTTTGTTTCCTGTTCTGGTTCCATCTCCTTTTTCCTTCTTTTGCCTTCTCTTACTTTCCTGAGCCCCGAGTCCAGGAGGCGCCTCTCCGACGGCTCCTCGCCGCCTGGCGCCGCGCGGCCGCCGCACAGCACCGCACCCCTGGCCCGCTAAAAGTCACGGATTCGGGGGGAAGCCAAGGAGAAAATCCACTCTCCCGGTCCCCCCCCACCCCATCCCGGGACCACACCGGGGTGGTTTTTTTCCACCCCGCCTCACTACATCACGATACTGCGACGAGATTGTTCTTTGACTATGCATGCTATTGTTTCTGAACAGGCAGGCCCATCAAAGGCCCGAAAGAGGTTCGCAGGCTGGAGTTCAACGGTCCCTGCGTTGATGCCAGGTGGGAGGCTCACGGAGGTACGTGAGGATCAACAACGATTGGCGAGGATGCTGTCCAAGCGCGAAGCGCAGATGCGGAGTTTGGGTGTTGTACCCTGGCTTACAGGCCGGACGTCATCCACCTGGCTGCAGGATCAAGATCTGACGGGTGCGATCGTATGTACTGTATGACATGGATGCCTGGAGCACCCTTTCCTGCAAGTACCCCAGCCATGCCTTGCCACTTGCCGATAGATCCGAGCATCCGCAGTTTAATCAATGTAGCCGACGAGCTCAACAATGAAACAAGTCAAGTCTGGCAAGTGGTTCTTTTCATGGGCCGTTCGCAGGCCCGCTTGGAGGTTCTGCACTGGTCCAGCTCATGCTTGCAAGATGGCGGAGTTGGGCCCTTCAATCATCTGGAGCTCGGAGCGATCGGCGGCAGCTCGCTATATTCAATGGATGTTTGCTGGGAGTAGTGATCATCAGAGCGATCTTCTGCAGGTTCTGTGTGCCGTACATTGTGTAAGAAATGGTACAGCCTGTCTTGTACATGCATATATAAACGATCACGTTAGCAGAGCTTACATTTTCTTACAGTGGGATTCCAGGAAGCAGTGAAGCAGCCCAATTTTTCGAGGCCCAAGAGGCCATCAAGACATCCATGGGCCCACCCGCCCCCACAAATAAACAACACACACACACACACACACACACACACACACACACACACGCACACACACGCACACACACCCACACACACACACACACACACACACACACGCACACGCACACACACACACACACACACACACCCAAAAGCTCAAGATTCCACAGCCGCAGGGGGCTCAAACTGTGCCTCATCCTCATGGGGGCGGCCTCTTGCACACACGAGCTCCCCAACGGCAACAATGGCAATGGGGAGCCCAGCTGTTGTGAGGCCTACTTCCAGGGAACATCCGAGGGCTCCAGAAAAATCATCGATGAGGATGGTGAGGCAAAGGGCGTGAAAACAGAGGATGCCACGCGTTCTGGACATGCGCTGCCCGTTGACGGTGTGGCGCGGGCCTCACGGCGGACCACGGTGATGGGAGGTCGATCCTTGCACGAGCAGACCGGATTCTTTGTGTATGAAGGCAAGACGAAGGAAGCGGAGTGGTTGACTGTAGCGGTTGAAAAGATGTGGGAGTACATCGAACGGTCCATCGTAAAACTGCTGGAGAACGACATTACGGCCCTGATCAAAGACGAGCTTCCATTAATGAGCTCCTTCGAGTTCACCAAGTGCAAGTTCGGACACCAGACCCCGCGCTTTGGGCCACTTAAGGTGCGCGCGAAAGACAACTGCGTGGAGCTGCTGATCGACATGCACTGGACAGCCGCAGGCTCAGAGATTGAGGTGACCGTCGGCAAGATGAAGCTGGGGATGAAGGACATCGAGCTCAACGGCCCAATCTTGCTGGTTTTCTGCCCCTTAATGGACGAGTTGCCCATCACTGGTGGTATGAGCATCACCTTCCCCGACCCGCCGCACCTGCACTGGAAATGGACAGGTCTTGGCAAGGCTCTGGCTGTCGACGTGATTCGGAGCCGCAGCTTTTTATTTCCCTCGCTTTTTCTTCTTTCCCCTCTGCAAAATAGTGCAAAATATATTGCAGCAAAAAAAATCTCAGAGAAGGGTGCCAAAGGCCAAAGGCCAAAGGCCAAAGGCCAAAGGCCCAAGCTGAGCGCAAGTTGAGTGCATGCGAGGACTGGGATTGTCCATGCCATCTTCCAAACCCTGGTGGTGCCCAGCCGCGTGTATGTGGACATTGCGGACTTGGCGAGTCAGCGGCACGAGGGCCTGCGCGTGGAGGACTTCCGATCCCCGGCGCCGATTGGAGCCCTGCACATCGCAGTCCTTGAGGCCCGGAATTTGCCGGCTGCCGACTTCGGATTTACCGGCCGGGGCTCCTCGGACCCCTATGTGAGCATCAAGATTGGGAACAGCAGCTTCCAGACGAGCTGCCAGGCAAAGACCCTGAATCCCGTCTGGGGCCCGGCGCATGCCTGCGACTTGTTGGTGTACCACATGGAGCAGCACATCTTCATCGAGGTGTGGGACAGTGACATGGTGACGGCCGATGATCTCCTCGGGCATGTCGAAAATGCCAACGGAAAAAGGCCCACAGTGGCCGACTTCGTGGAGAAATCGGAGACCGAGAAATGGTGGACGCTGAAGACGTCCGAGGCCGAAGTCAAGCCCCAGATCAGGCTTCGAGCCTCGGATGCGGTCAAGCAGAGCGGCAGTTAAGCATTTTGTAGGAACGGCTTAGCTCAAATTGCCAAGCTACACCTTTAGCTATGTGCGAAGCATGGGGGGTGAGAAAACAGAAGCGGTCATGAGCAGTCTCCAAGGATGCTTCTTTCGGGAGGTTCCACCGGAAGCAGAGTACATCGAGCCGATCCCAGTGAACTGCAACAAGAGGTGCGGCCTGGTGGAGGTGCATGGCCACAACAAGACACGCCCCAAGTCTTGCACGCTCTGTGGCAGCAGCTTTGCCAAGACCTGGGATCAACTCTGCTGTGGAGGCGCTCCGGTGGAGCAGGGGCAGGACAGGAAGTGCAGAAGGTAAGTGGAAGTTTGTTTTGGTTTGAACCCCTGCAGATACAGGTCTAGGAGCATGGAGACCGCGCGCTCAATGTCCTATATAGAAAAACCCTCAAGTCAGGAGTGCAGAAAGTGCAACTTCCGCTGCTGCACACGTTGCCTCTCCAACCGGCGCCCGGCAGCAGGAGCAGTGGCAAGAGAGTGCACTAAGTGGACAAAGCCCGCTAGAGTCACTGGGGTGTAGCCCTTTCAAGAGTTCAAGCCCTAAGTCCTATGTAAAGTCGGATGTCGTGAAGCAAGTCGTGCTGTTCTGTTCGATGAGCCCTTACATCGCCCTTGGAATCGATTCGGACATTAAGCACTCCCACTCCCTGTTCCTCAGGAACCCATAAAGTCCTGAACTCACATATACCCTAGTGATGGTAGGTGAGACCGGATGTCTCGACCCCTTCCAGGAATCCTGCGGGTTTGCATCCGCGAAGGCTTGGTTCCACCGGAGGATGCAACTGAGGGCGTGGTCGTGGGGGTGAAGTTCGAGGAGGAGATGCATTGGTCCAAGGCCTCCTACACGCCCCACTATGTGGAGGAGTCTGGGAGGAGTGAGGCACAGAAGTGGATACGAAACCTCTGCGCCAGATTCGACAAAGCCTCCGTCAGCAAGTGCCTTGGGATGAAGCCCGATAAGATCCAGGAGGTCCTGGACATGAGCATCCCAGAACCTCACCAATCCGACCTCTTGCAGCAGGACAGCCGCATGACCCCAAACATCGGACCCAAACACTGCATCACCCGAACAGTCACGAAATCGTCTTGTTCTTGCCGCTCATGCGCGTTGGCCGTTTTAGCCCATTTAGCCCCTCAGCATCTCTCACCCCGACACATCGGTGAGTTGGGCCAGGAGCCGGTGATCTGGGACCACGCGCTGCACTACTTGATCCGGAATCCCCACAGCGACATCGCGGCCACGGTGGTCTACAAGGGCAAGTCCGCAAAGGTGGAGCAAAAAGTGCACGTCTTCTCGGGGAAGAAGCTGGCGGCCGCCAAGAAGGCGGCCCAGCGTCTGGTCGGCAAGAAGAAGAAGCTCCAAGTGCCCAGCATGCCCAGCACGCTCGCCTGCGAGAACATGGAGGCCACTTGGACCCTGGAATTGGACGCCAATGCCAAGCAGACGGCGGACATCTTTGTGGAGATCTCCCTGACGCCACTGGAATCCTTCTACTGATTCCCCATGCGGCTGAGGCTTTTAAGTGCCTTCGCGGTCGTTACTGTTGGCGAAGCCCGCCGACGTGTTGAGGCATCGTTCCTTGTGATTGTGATTCCTCCACCACCTCGTGTTTCACCAAGACCCAGGCTCCCAAGGATCGTCGGAAAGAACGACCAAGAAGCATCACATGAAGCATCAGAGCTGTTTGGCAATTGGGGGCTTAGCCTGCACGAGATGAGGCATGTGCTGGCCAGATGCCTGCGTGGCTGGCAGCGGGTCCGTGGATCTGCTTCGGCAAAGGCAAGGGGGACGGGACGAAGTTAACAGAACTTGGCATCGTGCATCGGAGCGCTTGATAAAGAGTTATACAGTTAAATGGAACCCAGGCTCTGCGAGCTGAAGCAGAACTAGGAGGGCAACACAAAGAAAACAAACCCTTTCCCTGCAAATTCAGCTGTAATTGACTCTAAGACGACTCTGTGGTGCCAGGAGGTTGGTGCAGCCATGGTGCTGCGACTGCACTCCCGTCGGATGTTGGATGGGGCTTTCAGCTGGTGGCAAGTGCTCCTCGGTTGAAATTTTTGGGTCTGCACACGTATGGATTGCGGTGCACGGTGGTGGTGCATTATTCGCTTGAAGGTTCGTGTGGGTTTCCTACGTGGCTTTTGCCTTATATAGTAGTCAAGGCAAGATTGAATTTGCCTACTGCCATCTTTGACTTTATCTGGAACCTGGCGTCTGGGCTACACTGCCAGGCTGTTGCCCTTGCTTCTTAAGAACTCCTACATACATCCCATCGCATACCAGTGTTCAGCTGAAGTTTCCGAGAAAACAGCCTCCCATTGGGTCCTGCAGCAACTTCACATTTGTTTTGTTGCATTTTACGCTTGTTTGCTCAGTTTCTAGATTCCCGACCTATAGGGTGACGTTCATGGTCGAGTCGAACTGTTCATCATCCCGGGGGCTCATGCCCTCCACTTGTCCTCCGCTTGGGTCAACCCCTCATTGTACATATTGCCGCGGTCACGGGCATGGTCGTGGAGGTGTCGCAGGACGCCGGAGAAACCCGCTGGTGTCGGGTGTTCGCCCTACTACCCCCTCTCTGCCATGATTCAGCGGGTGGATGCATCCTGTGTCGCCCAGTATTTGTAGGTGTGTCAGCTTGATCAGGGGGCACGGGTGTGCCGCGGTTTGAAAGTCCAGAAGTGACATCGTCCTAAGCGCGGCCTAATGGGAACTCTTCATGGCCGTTCGCCTGAGGCAGTCCAGCACACGTCTCTGGGTGGCCAGAGCGTGTGGGAAGCTCCAAGCTGCCGCGCAAAGCCGCGGCCGAGCGCAGGCGAGGACCAGTAACAGTTCACACGCACAGCTGCGGGGCTGCAGAGCTCCACCATCACCCTTTTTGAACCCCCATTGACTGAAAATGTTTAAGGCAGTTTAAGGGTCTACGGCATGTAATTAGGGCTCTCTATGGTCGGGGTTGGTGACACTTTGGGCAGGAGCGCACTCTTCTTCGGAGATGTTTTGGCAGATGGCTTGCGGAAGCTTGCTCGAGCCGACGCTGCTTCATGGAAATCGAGTTGGATTGCTTGGCCGAGGGGTCTCAGCAGAACTATGAACCGCTTAGCGGCTAAAGGCCCCTCTATAGGCATCCCCAAGCTGAACTCGGCGCAGAGATCACATTGCCTGGCTGCAAGCGGGTCGAAACTGCACTAAGAAGCAATGTGGGCCCTATATTGGGCTGAACATGTTTGGAGGCATGTCCAAGAGCTGAGGCTTGCAGAATCTTCGCCAGCAACTCTGGCCTTTGTTCGAAGGCGAGGCATATTCCATGGCACGGGATTCCAGGATTTTCTGGTCGCAATTGCAGATTTCACGGAGGCAGCGTCATCATGTCAATTGAAGAGTAGCTGATAACCACGGCGGACGCTGACGTTGTAACAGAACAGCATGGTACCCCTGCAATTCTGGAGGTCTGCATCGAGCAGTGATCACAACGCTGGCTTTCTACCGGTGGCATTGCTGGGCGAAGCGCAGCCCGAAGGAAGCGGACATGAGCAAAAAGCATGGGAAAGCATAGGTAAGCCGTTACTGTTTCAAGGTCGGCTCCCCATGCGCTAGTGTGCACAGCATGCTGCTGTGCGTTCAGCAGGTCCACCTTCCGTAAGACAGCGCGTCCTTGCTTTGATGGGAGGCCACGCGCATCTACTCACACACCGTGCTGGTGCAAACGATGCGTCAAAGTGGCTTGGCCGAGAATGGCCGAGTACACCTTCGGGATCCCGCAACCCTTGTCTACGGTCTTCTAAGATGGTGCTGCGTCGTGTGGTCAAAGCTCAAGAAACCAGAGAATGAAGATGTACAGAATGGTGGGAAAGCAACGTGTACATATACACATGTCCATACAAATATATTTCACGAATAAACTTGTATACAATACACACATATACGCCGGCCATATACGCATTTCCCAAAACTGTGTGCACTCACGCGAGAGAGTTCCTGCGCCCAGAGAACAGCGTTCTCTGACTACAAGAGAAAGCCCCAGAGCCGAGCTTCAGTAGCTTGAAACCGAAGCCATGCTTGGTACAAAGGATGATTCGATGTGCCTGATAGATGTGTTTCAAATCCCTTTCCTGCACTTAGTTGTTTTGCCAACCCCCTGAATGCGCACACATACACTATGTATATGTGATCATGTATTTTTTATATGCATGTGTGTGTGCTCTGAAAAAGTCAGTGCCAAGGAGCTGCTGCAGAGCTGGCTTTCCGAGCTTGGCGCGGCATCCTGCGGCGTCGCGAGGCCATGCGCAACGTCCTGCAACAGTTTTGTCTTCAAACACCTCCTATATAGCAGTGGGGGGCCGTCAGGTTTCGGATTAAATGAGGGGGTGCGCTTCAATGAACGACGCGCTCTTTGCAGTTCGCTCCATGGCATGTTGTGAAGGATGACTGTTGGCTTGCAGGCCAACAGGCATACTGGCAAGATATGGATGGCCGCGACCTTATCACCAGATCAAAGTTGAAGTTTCTACATGATCCATTTGCTTGCCGTCAAGAGAAGCAGGTCAATGCAAAGAACCTTATAGGGAATTCCTGCGCATTGGCTCACTGACCCAAGGAAGCATCTGCGGCTTCCGAGCTTTGGTGCCCTGTGCAGCACAGTCTACGGGGCAAAGCGTAATATGGCACACGAAGAAGTGGAGTTGATAACTTAAAGGGGCTTGGTCCCATTGCCGGCTCTTGGTCCAAGTTGTGCTTGTGGCAGGGCATGGGCGGCGCGGCTGCATGCCCAAGTCGCCCGAGCACGCCTTGCACGTCGCGCGGCCCAAGCTCGGCAGGACAGCAACGCATCTGCAGATTGAAGCCGGAAGCGGCGCTTGGAGCAGAGCTCGGAACGATCCTCGTTTTGCAGATGTTTGCAGTTCGGCAGGCTGGCGGCATTGAAGCGCCAGCGCCGCAGACGCTACAGAGTGCCTTGGCAGTATCACGGCGCACCTTTGCCGAGCCGGGTTTACAATGCACTCCAGCTTCATTTGACAAATGCGTTGAACTCCGGTTGTGCACTTTAGGCCTCAGCCTACGTCTTGGACTTTAATCAAGTACTGTCGCTCATGCACGAACAAAGACACTACGAGCTTTGTGGTGCCAGCGCTGCTGTGACACAGATACAGTCCGCCAACATGCCTCCATGTAATGAGAGCTTCGCATGTTCCGCGCCAAGGCATTATCGAAGCCGTGTTGGCACAGGCGCGTGCAGCGGCCCTTCTCGCGGCCTGGCGATGGGTGGTGCAGGTCCACTGCCTTGCCCTTTCGCGATGATGCTGCAAATGCGGGTGTTGTGCTTCGGTCTGCTCGGTCTGCGCTCCTTCGATGACTCCACTCGCGTTATCCCCTTTTGCGGGGCTCTGGCCGCTGTGCTGAGAGCATCAGCTGTGCCAGGAGGCAGAGGTCCCTGAGCCACCCGAGCCCGAGCCCGCCCATGTCCAGGACCATCCGTTGCGGGTTTAAGGCTTTAAGGCTCTTTAAGATATTTGCTTTGGGTGCATTGAGGGACCTTGTAGACACCTATGTCGACATTCAGTGGTGGATTCGGACCACTGACGGTCCACCCGGCATCGGAGGAGGCAGGGCAAGAAGCGCGCGAAGTGTTGACCCTTTGCGAGACGCTGGAGTGGCAGAAGCTCGTCTCAGTGCTGTCTAGGAGCCCAGGAAGGAAGTGCCAGCTACTTCGTTGTACTGTGCATGCAGCTGCCAGCTGACCAAGGAATGCAGATTTGCAAGTCCTGCTCCGTGAACGCGCCATGGAAAATGCACGACTGGAGACTGAACTGACGGAACTCTTGCCACTCCAAAGATGAGTCGGCTCCCGCATGCTCCCACCAGGAGCTCGTTACGCGCTTTTTCAGCGCCCGCTGCTCCATGTACTCGCCGTCTGTGACAGCCCAAAATGGGCTACAGATACAGGCAGACATGTAACCCCCGGCAATGCTCTCCCAAACCATGGGAGGTTCCACCCGCTCCGCTAATGTTCCACAGTGTTAAAAGTTAAAAAGATGGCAAATTGCTCTCAAATTGGCACCCTTTCCATTGCATTTCCCAGAGACGCCAGCGCAGACGATACTGTCGAATCCCGTCCGCCCCCGCAGTTGAGGCTCACGATTAGTTGCGATGCATTAGCCACAGCAACACCAGGGTCCCTGGAAGCAACGGAAGCAACCGGCGGATCTCAGGCTTGGAACAAGCCCTGCCAGGCTGGGTTACAAGAAGATGGAAGTCCTTTCCATTGCTTTGGCTCTTGTTCGGAGCGCCTGTTCCTAGGCATGTCAGTGGCTCGACCAAGCTGCTGGGGCTATGAAGGCGGCGTGCTGCTGACGAACATGTCCCAGAACCGGCAAGTCACTGACCCAGATTGAACCTGCATCTTGGAGAAGTGTACCTCGAAACCACTCATTGTCATAACCGCCATTGCTGTGCGTTGTTGCTGTTCCGGTATAGAATTCACTTATGTGGCCAAGGCACCGAAATGGACCTTTGCTGGAAAGAGCGCTGGGAGTGGCGCCAGGCTGGGAAGCGGCAGTGAATTTCACCGGTCCTGCCTCTGTCGCGGCTTGCCAGACCCATGACACCTGGACCCGGCGCCTACGGTCACGCAACCTCCAAGAACAGCAGAATCAGGCGTCAGCGCACCGGAGTCTGGAGTTTTCAACTCTCCAGAACATTGCTGGCTGAGGCAACCCTGCTATGCCTTCGGTTCCTCGACCCGTGACAAGGTGCTTTGACTGGACTTGTGCTGTTTGCCAGTTTAGAAGCAGCTTGCTATGTAGCCACAAGAGCACCGGCTCAGAACGTTGAGGGTGGGATGTCCGCAACCTCGCCTGGACCCGGTGCCTACGGGGCCAGCGAGTCCTATGGGTCGGCCGCGGGCTCAAACTCGACCATCTAAGCTGGGACTTGGTGTTGGTGGATGTACGATGAGAGCAATCTTCAAGAGTGGTCACATCGCCCCAGAAGCGTCCACGGTCTGCGGGGCCGGTGTTCGGCAGAGCAGCACGTGGGCCGGGGATCCTGGATGCTGGCTGGAGAGCATGACACTAGGAGATCACCAGAAATTATAGGAGTCTATGTAGGGTCACAAGGGTCTGGCTTGTAGTCACTAGTCAGGATTTTGCAGGCTGGTAGGATCCAAAACTGAGCCGTGCGCCGGCATGCTTAGGCTGGGATCTGGGAACAGCACACCAGGCTGGACGAAGCCCGCTGAAAGCTGCAGAGTGTAGCCGAACAGCCCGCGCCCACACGATCCAGGGTGACGCGATGCGAAGATCTGCACAGGTCCTGGATCCTATGTGCCAAATGTTGGACCCACCAGGCAGGATTCGAATGCGTGTGGATTTCTTGTACTTGTATGCACAGACAGAATGAAATTTCCGGAAGCAGGAGTTCAACTAAATGATGGTAAACGGAACGCAAAGAACGCAGAAGCCTTCAGAGGCCGCAGTTCCCGCGGCACACGTGCACACCCCGACGAGACGGGGCTCGGGACTCTGCTCTCTGCTTTGACATTCTCCCCCAATGTGCTTGATATGGGGGTCTAGTAAGATGCCCTTGTAACAAGGACCCCAATAAGGTACCCTTCTTGTGTTGCTTGCTCCGTCCTCTTTCTGCCTGTCGAGGCCGACTGGGGGCACCGAGCGTTCCTGCCTCAAGTGTCCTCTTTGAGCCGAGAAATAGCTCCAAGTCAACATGTGAGCAAGAAGATCAAAATGGAGTTAAATTCGACAATGTTGGAACTGGAATTTCAGCCTTGATACTTCAGGGCTCCGGAAATTCAATGGCTTTGGATTGCTGGACGAAAATCGTCTCTCGGTCGGTTTCTTCGAAACTGTCATCACTTCCTGGCTTGGCTACTGCAGGGGGCAGTGCAGTTGTCTGGCGAAGCGATACCTAATCCCAAAGACATACCTCCATGTTCAAGATCCTTCTCTGGCAAGGCGACACCGGTACCCTTACACGTATTCCTAGAGTATCGCCGCCCCGAAACTGTCGTCTGGGATGCGTACCTGTTGCTCCAAACTCGTACGTAGACTAGTTGGGTGTCCAAACTGATGCAGAGATAGCATGGAACTTCAGCCGGACTCCACATCGTGAGCTCCCAGAGCTCCTCACTGCTACGAGGTGCTCAGTGACTCCCGGCCCGGGGACTTATGGCCACGGAACCGGCGGAGGCTCGGAGAGCCGGTGGCCCCAAAACTCCGTGAAAACTCCTTGAAACTTGAGAGACTTCCTTGAGAGCCATGTGTGTACTGAGGCCAAATTTGCTTTGCACCCCGAGGTCCAGTGTCGAAGTCGGCCCCGAGATGGGGGTGCCTTGAGATGCAGTTAGTTACATTGTACCCATGCCGTGCACCCTTGATTGATGCGCGTGTTCTTCTGCTCTACTCTACACCTCGCTTCGACACTACGCCTTTGGTCTTGTGCCTCTTGCAAGACTTGCAATATGAGGTTTGGCTCCTCGGACCGGGGCGTGCGTGCACATGGTGGCAGCCCCTAGCAGCCCCCTGCAGAATTGTCGTGACAGACATCAACTTTTGCAAAGCCTCAGGTGAGCATCCGGGTCCTGGTCAATACGACCTCCGCAGTTCGGCTGAGTTAATTTGTGGCTGCCGTCGTTTCCGCCGACCTGGTGGTACACCCCGGTCTCGAGCCGGCTAGTTTCAGTCGGAGATGTTCGTTCAAATGCCCTAGAAGCACAGCCTACTTGTCACCTCCCTTTCCCGCTAGAGCAGCTACTAGCTACTAGATGGCGGTTTGGGCCCCGGGTCTTCCAGCAGCGGCCACCGGGGGCCACTGTTCTTCTTGGCCAAAAGTTGGCCAAATATGCTTTCCAGCATTTTGGGCAGCCGCCCCGCCAAACCAACCCAAAAGAAGAACTTTGGCGTTCTTGGCAGAGGAGGGGGCGGGGGGGGGGGGGGGTTGAGAAAGCTCCCCGCCAAGAGCATTCAAAGGAGCGGTCATTAGGCCTTGCATGACCTGGTATACATTGCGCGCAACAGCCTTGGCAGCCGATGCTTGCCTCACAGGGCTTCAGTCCGGCCTTCACCCCACATTTGAGCGCGTAAAGACCTCGAGTTGCTGAGCCAAGGATCTCGAGCAGGTGGTGAGGGCCCCAGGGTTGCCAAGTAGCCCAAGCCCATCACTATCGGTTGCCAAGGGAAACCCTTGCCACCGCGGCAGGACCGAAGTTTTCGATCCGATGCCGCAATGAGTCGGACTCATCCGGGCTCTGTCCCACGTGGCCTTGGCAGTGTTATTGTAAAGTATTTAACCTCTCATAGCCTCTAGTGGTCGCTAGCCAGGCTGGCGGATAATCAGGGCTATCCGAGTCTCATAAAATCGAATCCTGGAGAGTCGAAGCTTTTTGTGCCAGGCCGGGTCCTGGCGCTTTTGGCGGGATGTACACGCAGTTCGGCTACTGAGGTCCATGGAAGATGTCGCAGGGTTGACAGGGCGGGGTTGTCTTGAGCTTTCCGGGAGAAGGATGGCTGAGTGTTCAGGGCGCTTCGAGTCAGAGGAGTCGTACTGGGATCACAACATTCGCCATACTTGAAATCCGAGCAAGCGCAGCTTTAAGGTGAAAAAAGCGCCCCTGTCATCCCCCGCGCATGGATGCCCTGCTTGTGAGGCCAGTCATCTCCCAGCTGCACTTTGCATAGGGGCCCATGGCTGGCGCTCCCAGCATTCGCGTGGCGGGCGGGGCTTGTCAGATTTCACACGCAGGGAGGCTGTGAGGCTGTGGTCAGTTTGCCGCTTCAATGGATCTGTAATCTGTATCATTCTCGCTACATGATCTTCAGTGCGCTCTGAGTGGAGGGATCACGGCCAAAGATTGGCTTCGTGAGGAACAGCCTCCTCGTGTCCGCAGTGTGCCCACACTCAGCAGCTGCCAGCCTCTCAAGAATCACGCGTGTTTAGTGAGTTTAATGTTTACCCGACAACTCAAGTCAGGGGTAGAGGCTGAAGGCCCTACCACACCCATATTTGGGCATTTGGGCGTCGACACTCTGCTGCAGCTTTGTGATCAATCATCCATGGATCACCCATGGGCAATCTCCCCTTAAGGGTAGCAAGGTTGCAGACAAGCCGACTCCGTTTCACCCACGCCAGTCACGCCGAAAGACTCAACCCAAACATGCACTGCAACGGATTTGCAAGGTGCAAAATGCCTATGGTGCCTCTGCCAGATGCATGCAGCTCGATGCTGCTTCGCGTGTTTCGCGTCATATCCGTCATATCCCGCAAGGAAGAGCATGAATCGATAAGCCTTTGTACGTTCCGCACCTATACACAGTATCTTCAAGCCAGGAGCCATGGCGACAAAACAGAGTTCATCATGAGAGCCAAGACTCTCGACAGCATTGCACAGCGCTGCGTGGACCTTGGTGTGCCCATGTCTCAGGTGGAAGCTTGTCAAGCGACTGGCGCCTGCACATTCCCGCGGCCCTCAACCGCCATGAGCTGACCCGGGTCCTGAATCGCCAACGGGCTGGTAACTTCCACTCTCGCCCTCTCGGCCCTTTCGTGGTCGAGCCTGCTCGCGCCCGCCTAAAGCGCAGGTGCCCTCGCCACTTGTGGCGCAAACGCTTGCCGCGATGGAGGCGCCAGGGCACTCCCAGCTGGGGCCGGCCGATGTGTGGAAAGCGCATTGGTGAGGCGTCAAACCCTGGCCCTGCTCCAGGAATGCCAGTATAGCGAGCGAACCTACACCAACTTCGGGAGGGTGCTCGAAGAGCCCGGTTCTCGCCAAGGCCTTCCCGCGAGCCGGGAGCGGTCCCATCGCCACCGGCGCCCAGCGGCTGGGAAGTCACAGCGACTCTGCAGACGTCTCTCAAGCTATAGCCAGCGATAGCTTCGTGTGAGCAAAGCGGTTAAACGAAGATGATTTGGATTTTCCACAGACTCCATATACTCATGTGTGTTTTGCTAGTGTTGTTTGAGCCTGGTCGGCATTGTCCCAATAAAATTGTGTTAGTTAGTTTTGCTAACTTGCAAAAAAGAAACGTAAGAACTTGCAAACATGCTGGAGCTTTACAATGGGAGAGCTTTGTTGACAGGTATACTGGTGTAGGAGTCGCGAAGATTCGCCATGGAGTAGATCGCTTGAGAAAGACCCGGTTTCCTCCTATCTTTCTGTACATACTTCTCTCGATGTGTGTACTTCTCTGTCAGAGGTCTTCTTGAATCCAGCGCAATAAAGTGGGGCCCTTCTTGTAGGGTCGAATGTGTTTCCGCGCGGACCATGCGTGGTTCGCTCAGCATGCAGAGCCGATGCTTTGATTGTAGAACAGCGATAAGGGGACTTGTGTTACTTGTGTTAATGTGAGGCCCTGAGATTTAGAAAAATCCCTCCAAGATTTTTAGAAACAGTTCCCAGGCTTTGATTTTAGTTTGAAGCATTGTGTGGGTACCCACAGTGAAAGAGGCCCACGCAGCGGATGATAAAGTTCGATTTGTATGAGTCAGTTTGCGTGCTTTGCAGGGTAATTCAAATCATTGGGCGTCAATAAGACTGGGGTGTAGGCATAGGGTTTAGCTGGGCAGTGGAGGGCGGCTTTGGTGCTGCAGGGGGTTTCTGTTGCAGCCCAAGAGCCTTAGGATATTCAGTCTTGGGCTGGCATGGTTCAGGAATTGCTCGGAACCTCAGCGCTTGAAGCTTCACCTGCGTGTGCCCATTTAGCTTCCTCGTGCCCTTTGTCTTTCGCCATGGGAAGCAGCTGCTTCCAGCTTGCTGTGGAGGCGATCCGGGTTTCCCTCCGCCGTAGATGCTGCGTGTGACTGGGGTCCGTGTGTCTTTGTGAAGGTGCAGCTTACATGGACATCCTTGAAGGGGCAGCGGAACCAGTCAAAGGACTATACTGTGAAAGGCTGGTTCGCGTTTGGTGCATGTCTTCTAAAGTTATTTAGAGGGAAGGTTTAGCGAGTTTAGCTGGCCGTGCTGGAGGCACAGAGAATCCAAAAATTTTGAAGCTCCCGGCCGAAAGCAACGGTTTGGAACACAGGAGTTAGTTCCGGGCAAAGGCCATAATTCAGCATTCAAGATACACGAATCAAAGTCGCGGGAGCCGTGGCTTCCGTGGTCCCGTGTGGGCAGAAAGGTAGAACATGTTGCACGCCTTTCGTGCAAGCAGTTGGCCATGCTATGTGTGTCCACCTCAAAGTGCTGTACATAAGCATCTTCATGAAAGGTGATAGGATGAAAATGCAGGTCAATATTGAGGGCTTTTGGGCAGAGTTGTTGAGCTGCTAAACGCTTTAGACGTCTTCAAAATAACGTCTCATAATCCTCCCCCCCCTAATGAGTCTGAATTTAAACGCAAATCCGAAGCTTTGAGCTGCTGAGCTTCTGAACTTAAACCTTTGCGTGGAAGTGTGGATCCTCTTCGGGGGCTCTGGGAGCTCTGTGGGAGGGGGTCTTGGTTTGGGGGTGCGGCAGATGAGAACCCCGGCTTCAGGACACGAAGTGTAGCAAAGGGTGTGGTGCAGCAATCTGAATTCCGCATCCTCAGACCCCTTGCCGTCCCGTTTGCAGGCTCTGGGCAGCTGTTTTGGGTTCCTGTGGGGTGAAGAGCTGAGCTTGAAGGGAGTTGTTCTTTGTTACAGGATGCGTCTCTTGTGCACGGTCTATATGACCTAATCCTGAAGCCCCGCCAGATATCGCCAGGAATGCAAAAGCGGCAGAGCCCCCAGCCCTGAGCCTCGACCGAGGAGGGCGGCCTCCCCGATCGCCGTTGACGTTGCAGACTCAGATGATGCGTCGCATAAGTCGGCCAGCAACAAGAACTTCCGAATCGTTAGTCCCGAATAGCTTCCAACGCATGAGTTTGGGCAAGAAGATGTGTAGCAACTGAGTGTTTGTAAGGAAGTCCCTTTCTAGTCCCAGTCAAGCCTCAAAGTTGATAGATTGCACAAAGACTATGTGAGCGTTTCCACGAATAGGGGCCCCGCAAATAGCCCAAATGTTTCTAGCCCTGTGCCAATTCATGATCCCAAGAAGGACGAATGGCCGGGAGCGCAAGTAGGAAGAAGAGGGTTTTGCCCTGAACATCAATGCACCAAGCAGCATTGTGCCTGCATTGCTCCATGGCGTGGATGCCCATGTCATACAGGCGGCGATCCAGCAACATGCAGGCCGCCTGTGCAAGTTCTTTTGCACGCTCCTTCTGGTGCTGGTCAGACCTCACAATCCTGAAACCAAGCTCAAGACACGCGGTGGCTGCGATTCATGAAATGTTGCCGCTCTTGGTATCGTCTTTGTTGCTTCTTACAACGTTGACTCGCCATTTCGCTGCAGGCTTTCCAGCTTTATTAGCTTAACCCGCCGAAGCTCCCTAAAGCCTAGACTCATGGATTATCATGGACGGTCGTATACAGATGTATACAGTCATGTACGATCCTTGTCAGTTTCGATCCCTGCTGAAGCTCCGCATGGATCTTGCGCGGCGCAAACCTCTTGACGCTTTGCACTGCTTCGAGCCGACGGCGCCTGAGAGCTGTAGCGGAGACAGGTAAGCCGAAAGTTTTGTTTCAAACAGTGAGAGCTGATGTGCACAGAGTGACAAATGCCAATACACTTGCCTCTGCGTGGCAGTGACACAAATGTTTTTGTGGCACTGCGCGGGCGGCTTGGGAGGGTCTGCGCGGCAGTGACACATTTGTTTTTGTGCCACGGAGCGCTGATTCGATGTGGTCTTTATGGCGTTGCGTGCCGATGCGATATTGGCGATTTGGAAGGGTCTGATGGATGTGACACATGTTTCGTTGTGGCACCGCGTGATGATTTGATGTGGGCGGCTTGGGAGGTAGGCGTGGCTTTTGCGGATGTTGTTGGCGTGGCCGGTTCTGGCAACGTGTATTGGCGCAGGCTCCTCCAGCGGCTCCATGACCGCCGGCCATTCCCATGGATTGTCCGGGCACCCTCCCCAGGTGACATTTTGTTTATAGAGGAAGCTTCACACCACCTCTCAGCACTTCTAGGTCAACGTGGCGCTGGATACCGCCCGGGCGTTGCATTTTTTGCATTCCCGCGTGGTGCCAGCGCACGGCCCAAATTGTTTGGAGATGGATGCTCATGATGATTACACGCGTTGCAACGCTTGCCATGCTTCAGCAAGGTGTTCCACCGCGATGTCAAAACAGCAAATGTGCTTATCTTCGCCAACGTGGCCAAGCTGTGCGACTTTGGCGTGGGCCTCGCTGCACAAGGGCCCGTGTTTTTGGAGACACTGACCTGCCATAGACCCTGAATCCTAGACCCAAAACTTGCATGACTCATACACCGATACCCTCAAACCTAAACCACCAAACCGTCAAGATTGGATAAACCAAAAATGTATGAACAACCCAAACGATCGCAAAATTGCCAAACCCCCCACCCCCGCCATCCTGCCCGGCACCGAAGACCTAAGGCTCCGCGGTGGTGGGCGGTGTGCCAGGCCTGGCTGGCACACCAGCCCTAGCAGCAGAGGCCCAGGGTTTAGAGTTCATGGAGTGTTCAGGATCGAGGGTTTTAGGGTTAAAGGGTTTAGGGACAGCGAAACAGAGAGGGTTTTTGGTTCTAGGTGGTTGCTGACGAACCCGAGTCCGCGAGAGAGAGAGAGGTGGTTGTAGCTTCGCAAACAGGGTTTCGAAATGAAGTGCAAGTTGCTCCCCATAACTATTCCCTTCCGCCCTCAGGCGTACACCTTCGGCATGTTCCTGGCCCATCTTCTTGAAGGCCACCAGTCAGCGGCCCGGAGGCTATACATATTGCTGTGCCACACACGTCTTTGTGGCACTGTGCTGATATGATGTGGGCACGGCTTTGAAACGGCATTTGCAGTGTCACGCGCGTCTTTGCGACACTGCGTGCTGCTTTGATATCGGCTCGGCTTTTCTGGAAGATATGGCTGTGCCACACACGTCTTTGTAGCACTGAATGCTGATATGATGTGGGCACGGCTCTTTTGAAAGGGCATTTGCAGTGTCACGCGCGTCTTTGTGACACCGCGTGCTGCTTTGATGTCGGCTCGGCTTGTCTGGAAGATATGGCTGTGCCACACACGTCTTATTTGTTTGTCGTCCGCATGTCTCTTTTGACTTTTTGTCAGCTACCAGGTACATGTTTCGGTTCCCACTTGTGGCCGGTCTTACTTGCTGAGCCGGGCTCTGCGCAGCTGGGGAGTTTCGAAGTGATGGGGCCTGGGCCCGGAGTGGCCTCAGGCCCAGCCCCCTGGGCGTCTTCACAAATACGAAACGTTGCTTCTACGTGGACCAGGTTTAGAACAGCCACGGGTTCGGGAATGGAGAGCGGTACCTCCGAAACAAGGAAGCATTTGATGCAGCATGCACATAGGCCCGCGCATGCCCATTCGCTTGCGCTGAGGCATGCTGCAGAGATGAAGGCGAAGGGCTGGCCTCACATCGCCGGGAGCTCGGAGTTGCGCTGCCGACATCTGCCGACCAGAAAATGACTGGGCTGCCGGCAAGGACATCACCGAATGGACTGATGCATCGTCTTTCAGCCGCTTGGTCCAAAGCAAGGAGATCAGGGCAACAAAGGATAAATTTCAATGCAGGTTGAAAGCTGCTGCGCGCATCGGAGGCCCCGCAGTGCAAAGGCTTCTGCGTGGACTCCTGCAGCAGAAAGAGGGGCGTCTGCGCCCAGGCAATGAGCGGGCAGTGCGGCGTGCATACCACACCATCAGGCTTGCTTGCGCTCTGCCGCTGCCTGCGCCAGAGTTCTTCGAAGCATAATGATGACCCCGTCCTCGCCTGCAATTCCTTTTCCATTGCACTTGTGGTGTGCTGAGCACAGTGATAATGTGTCAGGTTGGACCGCTGCAGTTGCCTTTGAGCAATTTGACTCACACACCCCGGCTTCTTGACTGAACCACTTGGACCTGACATGCCTGACGCACTGAGCTTTTTGTTCCTGTGAGGTTGCTGCTTCGGGCATTGGCCGTTTGCCTGCCCTGAGGCACTGTTGTGCAATCTTGCATTCGTGCCTTTTGCAGCGATTCCTTTCATTTAAGGATTTTGACCACATCAGGCTTGCCGAGAAGGAGATTTGGCAGCTGATCCATCAGCTGCCGCAGCGTGTGCAAGGCACCTGCAGCTCCCATGACTCGTGAATCAACTACTGATACTGCACTTGCAATGGTTGTCATGAGGATGGCGGTTGAGATGTGTGCAGCTTGCAGGTGCGAATGACGGAGCACTGCACACTGGTGTCAAGGCCTGTCAACCCAGCAAGTCACCGCCCATCACCACACTTGGTGCTACCTTGTTCTGCAGGTTTCGTCCTGCAAGTGGATGCCCCAACTTTGCTTCCAGCTCGTTCAGCTTCTTCAGCTTCAACTGAAGTGCAGAATGGTTCGGCTTTGTTCGCGCAGTACGGCCAGAACATGAAACGACTTAGTCGCTGATTGCCCATGTGCAGTTCGCTGCCGCTGCCGGCCAGCCTTTCTTCCAGCGCTTAGCGGCTTAGCAGCGAAGCCTGGGAACTCAATTTTTCTCAGATCTCAAGCACCTCAAGAAGACAAGCGACAGAAGGAGAAACCAGTGAAAAGAGTTTCGAGTGCTGTAGTGCTTTGGTCAGAAGATGGAAGCACGCCAGGCGCAGGGCCGCTGCTGTCCAGTGAGTCAGGGCGAGCGTACAGCCGGTAGGACCCCCAATCCCCCTGAGCCGTCAGCCCCATAGGCTCCAAGCCGATTAGGGCGTTGGTTCAGGACTCAGGGCTTAAGTTGCTTGTTCGGGGATTCTTTTTAGGGTATTTAGTGCCTAGGGTCAAACGGCGGTTGCAAGATTTACGGTGTTAAATGCCATAATTGTCATGATACTTATCATTGCCATTATCATTCGTGAAGATTATGTGGGTGCTTGGGTAGCTGCTTGTACAGCTCACCTTCAGCAGGCCCAGCCATGAATTGTCACTTCGGGCAGCGGGAAGGTACAAGCGGTATCTTTCTGAATTTGTATCAATCCGTGTTGCTGTGGCCAGCCCCTTCGGCAGAAACTTGGGCGTCAGCAATGCCACTGCAGCCTGAGGATGTCCTCAAACAATGAGAAGTGCTTCAATCAAAGTCAAGAAGGGCAAGCCTGGCATGGCAGATCATGGCATATATGCTGAAGCATTCAGCACATTGAGACACAAGATGCCATCTAATCTCCCATTCGCCCCGTTTTCTGAAGGGAGTGGGGTCGCGCAGCCTAGCTCTTCACTGCACCCGTTTCTTGTGCTTCGAGTCGCAGAATTCAGATCCCCCACTGGACCCGAAACCCCAGCTATCCGCTTTAGTGAACACCTATTGGCCACGCAAGTGGCTTGCGACTTCGCTCTTGCACAGGGGCCTCCAGACCGAAGGGGCCGGCCTCCCAGGCAGGGTTGGCCTCCTAGGCAGAGGCCTCCCAAGAAGAATTCGAATGGAAATCGAAGGGATTATTCCCTTCGATTTCCTTTTATTCTATCATCAACATAGTTTGAGATATATCGAGGAGAATAAAAATGAAAGATATCCTATTTCAAGAAGAAGAAGAAGGATATCCTTTTTTTCATCAATAATTTATATAATCAACTTCGTGATATAATCTCACATATGAACGAAGGCAATCAAATATATTCGGAATATCATTTCTAGGGAGGTTCAAATTTTCCAGATCCCCCGAAAGGAAGGATCCGGGCCTTCCTTCTCCCAACATAGGCAACCTCTCATTTTTTTTGAGGGGATAGGCGAATGGCTCTATCCATTTGTTTCTCTATTGCCAGATCGATTTCGAAAAATCGTTGTTGGCTTGTCTATCTCCACTGGCTTTCGGCCCAGTCCCTCCGAGGCTGGCAGCATGTGCCATTGGCGTCACTAGCCCTGCAGCGCCGCGCAAGTCAGCAAGGCAGACAAAAACAACCGTAGCTACCTAACACTAAGAAGAAATCAACAAACATCACCGTCGTATGAGAATCAGTTGTCAGGAAAAGATGCCAAAAATAGCACTCATACGTATACACACACATATATATACATATATGCAGAGAAAGACAGGCAGATATAGTATCTATATATATATATGTATACACACATGCGAAAGTACATATCAAGAAGAAAGATTATGTACACACACACACATACATATATATATATATGTATGCTCGCAATCCCATGGCATGCGCAGTGTTCGGGGCGCGGCCCGCGCTGTCAAGGCCGCCAAGGCTGCAAAGTCCGCTGTGCAAGCGCTGGAAGCAGCCCCTCGCAGTTTACGTTGAAAGAGAGGGAGGGGGGGGGGGGGACTTCAGGGTTCATTCATTCTCAATGGGTTAAAGCTAGCACTCTGTGATCTTTGGGAAGCCAGGGGCAGGTGGAGATTCGCAAGGGTTGAGCTGCCCGAGAGTCTAACCAGGAAGTTGGCCTACGCTGCGTGCTGACTTCTGGACCAAAGCTTGTCGGCAAGCTTCTGTCGCATTTGATCCCATCAGCACCATGGCTGAACCACACGCTTCTTTTTTTCTCAACATCCCTCCTTCGTGGGGAATGACCATTGACCCCTGGCATCCACTGCAGATCCAGGACCTCCAGCGCCACGATGTGCTGTCCTCTGGGGAGGTGCTGCACCTCGCATCCCTGGGCACGAGGCTCAGAGTCAGAAGAGGTGGCCTTGATAAGTCTCACTTCATATTGCACGTGGTGTGTATCAAGCAAAGAGGAAGATAGGCTAAGATAGGAATTTGATCCAGCGACAAAAAGTTGAAAAGTGGCGACTGAGGCTTCCCGGCAGGGCAAATCAGGCCAGCGCTGAGAGTGAGAGTCATCCAGACAGGGGACGGAAAAGCATCCAGCAAAACACCGGGATCCCTCAACCTTAAGCGTTGCTGGCTTCTCGTAGTTGTTTGCTTGTGTCTCCGATTCAATTCCAGCCTTCAGTCGGATGGCCCACTTTTCATTTACGTCATGCACCTGTCAAAATTCTTGCTCTATGGCACGACGAAATGTTACACACATGTTCATCATCGCTCCCTCGCCTACTTCCTTGCTGATGGTTCCCACTTTGCACTTCCATTCTTCGCTCATGCTGCATCATGACGTATGTAGAGACCATCTGATACAGACATTGTTTACAGGAACCTGCCGCGGTGGAGACGGGGAGGTGTTCCTCCGCGCTTAACATTAATGGGTACGTTAAGCTTGTGCAGTGAGTGAAGGCCCAGAGAATGCCTTCCATTACTGCCAGCTGTTCGTCATTCAGCCTTCCTTTCGCCACCGTCAAGATCAACTATATGATGTTCTTCAAACGTGTGTGCATGACAAGATCCAGAAGCGCGTGTCTATGTGATGCGCATGTGTTTGCTAAAGGAGTGAGTCATCAGATTTCCAGACCCTCCAATGCCCAACTGAAGCCTTTGAGCACGAACCTGCTATTCAAGCTCGCACTTCTTATTGAGCGACACCGCTTGCCACGTAGCTCCCTGTTTTGCAGGCCAAGTCAAAGCTCAAGGCGCTCAAGGTCGCAGGAGGGGAGAAAGCGCAAGGTCGAGGACAAGGCCGCCCACAGGGATGTTCCAGGAGTATGTTCAGGACGTATGCCAAAGACGTAGGGTTTGATGGGTGTTTGCGCTTGGCTAAGGCAATTGGGGCCACTAGGGGGCGTGCTCAAAAGGTTGCTTTTCTTTGTGCGTATTCTGCGCAAAAGCATTCTCAGAATTGTAAATGCTGCGCAACTCGCCTCGGCCTGGGCCAGTGTGGGGTAATCAGCCGACATCCCGACGAGCTTCCGAAATCTGCAGCGGCCAGTCCACCAATCATTTTCTGAGACAGAAGAGGAGGCGAATAGGCTGAGGGTGCACGATAAGCGTAATTATGGGGGGTGCTCGTGGGCATGCGCTGGAAGGTTCAGGGTTTCCTGTGGCAACCCTGCGCCAGGGGGTCTGCAAGGCGATGAATTAGCTGAGGCGCTTGCAGGAATTCTTTTTTCCACAAATATGGGTCCAACAATGTCGGGTGCAGGCCCAGGCGTGTCAGCAGGCTGCCAGGATGGCTTCAAGTGTCCCAGAGGCCGAGGCCCCAAGCTGGGTTTGCCTGAGCTATCCATGCACATTCAATGGACAGTGAGACATTGGATCGTGTGTCCATAGGACTACAACTGCATCATGCAACCGTACATTGACAAGCCCACTGTGTGCGAAATATCGCATGATTCACGCGCGAGCATGTGGCTCACCAACGCGCACGCCCACAGAGAACCATTGTACTTTGACTGGTGGAATATGGTTCGCATCAGCAAGGGTACTGAACTTGTCTGGGAAATATCTGAACCGGGCTCGCGCGGAGTTACTCGGAGTTACAGTACCGCTTCAGATCAGCCTAAGATTCCGAAAAGTTCATTGGTTTGAGTCGGTTTGAGGTTGGCAGCCAATTGGCAGTCGGTCAAAGTTTGGTGTTAACAGCCACCTGGACGGCACGAGGCTTAAACTCATTGGTCGAACTCTGGTCCAGGCCTGCCTGCCTGGTTGTGTTGCTTCGGGTTTCCTAAGCTGAGTCCATCAACTTGGAGGCCCTGTAAACCTCAAACCACCAAGGGGAATCTGAACCACCACCTTCGTTCCGAAAACTTTCGAGGTCTGGGCTGCCGTGCTCTACTCCGTCTGCTCCGTGACCACCGAGGAGGCATCGCCAAGGCAGCGCCTGGCCGCTGCACTAGGCGCGGGGCCCCTCAAACAGCCCCACCAGTGGCAAACGAATCCGGTAGAATCCTGGAACTGTTATGGTGATCTGGGCTAGAACTTCCCTTAGTGGTGTGGATTCGGGTTTGTCAACAGTTTTGACAAACATAGACCGGAGGCGTGCCAGATGCCGCGCTGCGGCTGGGCCCAGCACTGCACCTCCCTGGCGTGGCTGTGGAGCTGGCCCGGCTACCACGAGGACGGGGAGAAGAAGCGCCAGAAACTCTGATAGCCTCTTCTTGGAGAAGAGTCCTCACGTCCTCCACATTTCATGAGCCTTTGAAGTACTTCCTAGGTTCCGGTCCTATATAGTGCTTCCTCTGCTGTGCCTGGGTGAGGCCTGCCGGAATCCCTGGAGCCCTCTGCCGAGCTTCAAGCTGGGATCTTCGCGCGCGAGGGAGGGGACTCCAAGGGCTCAAAGAGCTCTCTGCCGGATCTGGCCCTGGGCCCTCCAGCTTCTTGGCTTCGGAGAGGAGAGAGGGAGGAAGAAGGATTCTGAGACACACCCGCCTTGGTTCTAAGTTGGGCGTTCGGGACAAGATTTTTACATTCGAGGTGTTTCACTCAAACCCCCTTGATTCTGGTCGGCTGTGGGATCGGGTTTCGGGCTTGGAACGCAATGGATCTGCATAGGGTCCAGTCCTCGAAGTCGGATTGACGACAGAATGGGTTCGACAATGCGAGAACCGAGACCTTAGTCTTTCTGGAGGATTTCCTTCCGCGCTCCCCTTGCTTTTTGCCCAGTCCTGAAGTATTGCTGAGGACCACGCGCAAAGTTTGGCACTTTGGGAAGAGATGCTGCTTCTTGGTGAAATTGTTGCGCTGTCGGGTCCTGCGTCCCATTGTTGACCTCGCACGGTCAGCATCGTTGGTGCCCATAGATGCTTCGATGCCACACGAGAGAGTGAGTAGATTCACCAAAAACGGCCTGGTTCCGTCTGCTGTTCAACTTCCCGGGGCTGTACATGTCTGCTGCTGAACGCCCTTTGTTGATGTGTGACTTTTGAACGGGCAGGTGCCCGGCCCACCGCTACACCATCGTGCTGCGCAATCTGAGTGAAGCACAGGCCCATCCCCAGATCTATTGAATCTATTGCGGCAAGGTGTATATAGAAATCCTGAGTTACAGGTCAGCCGGGCTGCCTACGACCATCGCTTGGAGGCCGTGTCGTGCGAGGGAGCTTCACCTCAGTCTTTGATGAGACACCCCCTGTAACCGCTTCCCCCTAATACTAACACCCCCCCCCCCCCCCTAATTTTAAATATTTTTTTCCCGGACCCTGCCCCTGTTGGAGAATTAGGGGGCGAGGGGTTCAGGGCCTTCGCGCTTGAGTTGAGCCATTAGGGTTTCAGGGCCTGTCGGGAAGCTCAACGGCCGACTGGATCGGAATCTCTGCCCAAAAAAGGCTGCGACTGTCTTGTCTTCGGCTTTGGGGTTGTATTAGGTTTCGCAATTCAGGTTTCAGGATTTAGACCCCCCCCTAATTTTAAATATTTTTCGGGCCCAGGCGAATTTCAGAATCAGGGGGGGGGAGGGTTTTAGTATTAGGGGGAAGGGATTATACCATAGCCAACAACGACGCGCCGCAATGACAAAGCGGAAGGAAATCCGGGACAAGGGCTTCGCAAACTTCTTCGAGTTGTCTTCGTTCGGTTTGGCAGAGGTCCGACGGCGACCGGATGGCGTTTATTTTTGTCTCTCTATACAGTCGCAGGAGTTTTGGTGGCTATACAGTAACGTGAAGTCCAAAAGTAATAAAGGGGGAAATCTCCTTTCGAAAGACCATACCCCTTGAGAGAGAGAGTGAGAGAGAGAGAGAGAGAGGAAAAAAAGCACACACACACACACAACACACACACACACACACAAACCGGCACCGGGACTCGCAAACAGACACGCAAGCCTTTGGGCGCCCCCCTTAGGCAATCGCGGGGTTGGAGGAAGGAAGGAGTACTCGAAACGGACCCATCAAACACGCTTCGGGGCGGCCAGGGGACCACGCTTGCAGAGAGAGGGTCGCCCATGAGCCCCAAGAAAGAAAGAGAGGAAAAGAGAGAGGGAGAGAGAGACGAAGAAAAAGAAGAAGAAGAGTAAGAGTTGTGAAAGTGATTGAGGTTTGGCCGTGCTTTTTTTTCTCTGCCACCCAATGCTGAGAAATGTGCTAACGCGGTGTCGGTTTAAGACACTGAGAGAGAGAGAGAGAGAAACAAAAAAAAAGAGAAGGAACACGAGAGAGCGAGAGAGAGACAGCAGATCGAGAGACGTCTATCCACCGCGCTGAGGTACGAGATCGGCGCGGCCTTGTGGTGTGGGCACTGGGACCGTGCCTGCCAGCTCCTCCTTACCTCCAATCGAGGATGGGTCGTGAGTTTGACACCCAAAGACACACTTATTATGAAACGTTTTTTTATTTTTGTATTTACTTGTTTCTTCCCCGCCCTGGGTGTGGGGTTGTTAGATTTTAAACTTAACTCTATCTCAACTCTTCTCCTCGCCTGGTCTACTCCTCGCTCATCCCTGGAGTGCCCAACCCCAGAGTGCCCAACCCTAAGTGTCCCCAGAGTGCCCAACTCCAGAGTGCCCAAGCCCAAATTTTCCCTGGAGTGCTCAACCCCGGAGTGTCCCTGGAGTGCCCAACCCCAGAGTGTCCCTGGAGTGCCCAACCACAGAGGGTCTCTACCCACCCTCTCTGTAACATATTTGTGTGTTTTTATCCTACGATAGTATATAATATATAAATATATCTGTATATCTTATTAGATGAAGTTATATTATATTTTCCCAGAAAACCTTCCCTACAGCCTTCTTTGATCGGAAAGAAGGCGGCTCCAGCCTCGCGGCTGCCTCGGCCGCTTTTGCTTCGCGGGACTACGCACAAGGCCTCGAGAAGCCGCCCAGACGCAAACATTCTCTCCTCGAGGAACTTGAGCCGTGGTTTTGTGTGTTTGGGGGGGTTTTGGGGCGGGTTTCTATTGTTCTTGACTTCGTGTAAAGCACCTTGAAACGCAGGTTGGCGATCCCTTGCTCCTCTGGTCTAAGCCCGAGGCTTCCGACTGACGCAAGCTGCAAAGGGCTCCGCGCGCTGGCGATGCACCTGCTTCTGAAGAGGCACTCGGATTTGCAAAAAGGGTCTCAACTGTACAAATATTGAGTGTGGAGAGAGAGTCTAAACTGTACCAACTTTGAGTGTGGAGAGAGAGTCCACTCCTCCCGGCCGTTTTACTCTAGGGACCCGCTGGAAGCCTTGCGACGTGCTTTGCCTGTGCCGCTGTGGGGCAAACTCCTGGCAGCGGCTTCTGGCCTCGAAATTGGGAGGAGATTGGTTCTTGTGTGGTCAAGGTTTTTTTTTTTGTTTCTGTTTCTGTTGTTGCTTGGCTTGTGTTTTGCTGTTTTCTCTTCTTTAGCAATGGCTGTGCTTTTTGACACAGCATCTGTGTAGCAGCGGCTTCCTGGAAGGTGGGTCGCGTTTGTTGGAATCGAGCCGCTGCAGCCCGCCTCAGGGGACTCGCAACGTGGTGGCTCTTCAGTGCAACACCGCCCACAAATAGTGAAGTCACGCCGGGTAGGCCCCGAACAGCGCAAGACCGCTTCCAGATAATTCCAGAGTGTGGTGCACATACGTGCGTCTGAAGTGCAATCTGGCTGTACTTCTGGCATGTATCGCGCTCGCGTCGTGATTGCGTTCGGATCCGCGCAGGGGTGATGTTTTGGTGTGCGACTTGTTCTTGCTGATGTGCAGTTCACGCATGATGTAATTACATGTAAACCGGAAGCAGGCGTGGATAACTTGCAGGGGCTTTGGCGGAGTGGCCTAGCCAGCAACCCGAAGAAGCAGGGGCAGTGGATGAGATGTGTGACACGTCCCGGTAATTCGTACGCGTTATCGATCTCCCAATGAAGGAACCTCGTATGCGCAGCGCTGTTTGGCAGTTTGGGGGATATTTGGGAATAGTCCAAGGACCCATCGGCTTATCGGCTCGTGGGCGGTCTCCAATTTTAGATGCAGAGGCTGGCATTGAACTCCCAACCTCAGCATGGAGAGGGTTCGAAAATGTTATGGGATTTGCCGACTAGCCGAGGCACACCAGCCACTGGTGGGAGATCTGATCTGGGATGAGCCGCCAGGTTGAAAAAAAATGTTGGCCGTGAGTCAGTAATGCCAGTTGGGCCAATATGACTGTGCTGCTGCAGTGACCGGATCCTATAAACTTGGTAAGGGTTGAACCGCCCATGGGAAAGTCGTGCACCAACCCTTTCGCAACGCGGCATGACAAGGGTTCCCAAGCAACTGAGGAAAGCTGGTGAGCCTCGACCATTGTCAGCCCAGGATGTGCAGTCAGGACCGTCGGTGCTGAGGGGCTGAGCGCTGCACGATGTTTTGAGTTTTGAGAGTTCGACGCCTGTTCGTTGTATTTTGAAGGCCGGTGGCAACTGAGCGACATTGTGCTGCCGCTTCCCAGGTCGGGTGCAGTTGCCGAGTTGCGGCATAGCCATCGTTCTCTTGACAAGGGTATCGGCATGTTTCAGAGTCGCTTTTGCATGATGCTTTATGGCACTTCGCCGCAGACATGCGTGACAAGGGGCCCAGCCACACACACACACACACACACAGAGTGATGAGGCCTGGTGAGTCACTCCACCAGGGAGGGCAAAGGCGTCTCGGGAGCAGAAGCCTGCTAAGTTGCGAGAAGAAAGCTCCTGCATGTCTTGACCACGTGTGTCTGGCTTCCTGTGCAAGTTCCAAAGCTCAGCAGGGGCATGCCCCCTATAAAGATCCCACTTGGTGGTTTCCGAAATAAGGGGTGTCTCATTGGGGTCCCTATAATTATAAGGGGAATCATTCTCTTTAAAGGGGTCTATTTTCGGGGTCCCTTAACATTTGAGGCTTGGCATGGAGGCTGAGCTTCAGGAGCTCGTGCCGGACCAGGCGGGCGCAGCGAATTCCGGCGCACGATGCGCGCCTCACACGCCTTGCGAGACTCATCTTCCCCTGCGTAGGATGCGCCGGCTGGCTGCTTTCCTCTGGATGTCTCCAAGATTCTGCCGCCAGTGCGTCGCATCGTGAGCATCCCTTCGGTTCTTGGGCTGCAAGCGAGTTCAGTGCTGCGCAGATCGGTTGCTTCGTGTGCTGCCTCGATAGGATCTTCTGGACTTTGCTTGGCTTTGCTTGGCTTGAGGACCTCAGCTGGGACGTGGTCGAGTCTTCGGGCGGCTCCGCCGTGGACTGCGACCTTGCCCGCCTCAGTGAGCGGGGCCTGCCAGTGACGATGTCAACCAGGAGGTGGGGGAGGGAGCCGGCTACAGTAGCTGCTACAGCAGCTGCGCTAGACTCCCGCTAGACTCGAGGCAAATGGAAGTGGTCAGGACAAAAAGCCAGGCCGCCAAGCCACAGCATCAAGCCTCCTTCAAGCTACTCACCTTCCAACTTACGAGTACTATGAAGTACTATGTTCTCTCCGCATATGCAAACATGTATTCGCAGAAGTTCTTCCTTGGAGGCCTCGTGCAGCATCAGGCCTGGTGCTGCGCCTACGCTGCACGCTTCCCCGTGCAGAGAGTGCGGAGGCAACCGGAGCACCATGGGAATCGCGTTAGCACCGCTAGCACTCAAAGACCTGCAGGAAGACTTTGCAGGAAGACTAGCGGGCCTTGTGCTCGGATGAGGTTGAGTAGCTGGATGAATGGCCAGTGGTGACGTTGTGCCTCAAGATGTTCACCGGCCGGCAGATGGTGCGCTGAGGTGTGTTGAGGCCACGTTATTGACTGCATGCCGTCAGGCTCTCCTGCGCGAGCTCACAGCTGCAAATCCTTCCGAGCCCGAGCTAAAGACTCGTTCTTGACATAAGCAATTGCTTTCCAAGCACCCTTCCAGCATCTAAGGAGTTTCGGGAGAACCTGAGCCGCAGGGACAACATTTTTTGAGCGCCACTGCTGCTCTGCTACGCTGCTACATCTGCTACATGTGCCCAAAGCTGCCGAGCCACAGCTTGCTCGCGGCACGGATGTGTTCAGGACATCGATGCCAAAAGAAGTGGCATTGACTTTGGGTCTAAGGCGTCCAAGGCCAGAGTCCAGTCGGGCGCATGTCCCTGTAGCTTTGTTTTATGCCCTTGTGCCTTTCTCGTTTCTCTCTGCGGTTCTGGGAAGTTGCAACACAGAGGTTTTGCTTTTCCTTGTCGCCCTCCAAAGCAGGGTTGTGGACCGGACCACCAACACCACCATCAGTAGCAGGTGTGGACATTGTATTTCCGACTGCTCTTCACCTCGGGAATTGCCTTGTGAACCCCGACCCCAACATCAGGTTCTCCGTGCCCTAATTAGTGCTTTTGTGTTGACATGTGAGCTGCATTACCGCGACCACTAGGTCGAACGTAAGGGGCTTCCCACGCGCACACACGCACGCACCCCAGGCACGGAGCCGAGCCCCACTTGACATGATTGACGTTGCACTATCCCCTTGGTGCGATGGGGCAGTACCTAAGACTTCAAGCACCACCGCAGGATGAAGCGGGGGAGGGCGGAGGTTCTTGGCTCGGTTTTTCGTCGACTACAATCTTAGGTTGTTGTTTTTTGGTATGTCGATTTCGAGGTCCCCACATTTCCTGGATCAGGTCTTTGGTTCCTTTTAAAAATACGTGCCAAGTGGTTTCTGCTTCACATATTCGGGTTAGTTGCGTTGCTTCGTGATCCCTCATCCTTTCGGATGGTGCACGACTTCTTGGCTGTCAAGGACAAATTACGAGTGCCGTGTGCTGTTTATTGGCCGACAAGCATTGCCTGATGCACATGCGGGTGGCTCTTAGGAGATGGCCATTGCGAAGCTGTTCCTGACCGTGTGTAGTAAAGTACATCAGACTACCGTGCATGCCATACCACGCCATGGGCTACCGGATGCTATGTGGAGTGCGCGTGCCCACCTTCAGCGCGATCCTCCTAGCTGTACAGCTGGTGAAGTTGCATGCCCAGCTCTCGCGCCTGGCCTAGCAACTTAGAACCAGGCGCCACAGGCGTGCAATTTTTTCGAATCACCCACCGGCACAGTTGTAAAGTGGCACGTGCTTGTTCGTGCCGTGTTCTTTGTTGTCAGGCGGGGTGGGCGTAGGTGCCCCGCGTCGACCGTTTTGCACAGGTCATGGTCAAAAGGTTGAAGCTTGTCAGTTTCGCCCGCCTATGCAACGAGAGAGAGAGAGAGGAAGGAAGAAGGAAGGAAGAAGGAAGGAAGAAGGAAGGAAGAAGGAAGGAAGGAAGAAGAAGAAAAAAACGGAGGAAGAGAGACACAGAGAGAGTGAGAGCGAGGGCGGGCGGCCCAGTTGGAAGAGGCGGACCCAGAGGCTTCCTCAAATCTTGCGCTTCTTAACAGTGATGAGGTTGGTGTGCTCGGGAATATCACCAACAATTCCTGGTCGTGCCCTTCGGCCTGTTTTTAAGTCAGCGTGCATTTTTCCGACAAGATGCGGATAGGACGCCGCAAGTCTGTGCTTCCAGTCTCAAAGGGTGGGGGGGGGGGGGATCTTCTTCTGTTGCCCAGGTGAGCCTGTATTTCGGTTCGCGTGCAGCGCCCTCCGAGCCGGTCACCGGTGGGATCAAGCTGCGGAACTCGGCAGGTGCTTCAGAGCTTAGGACCTGTCAGTTATTGTACCTATATATATATATATTGGTGTCGGGCGCGACTCTAAATTGGGGACATAACACTTGTGCTTACGTCTTGCGTGCTGGCGGTAGCCATTGTGTCAATGCTTGTGGGAAGGGTTATTCTCGCGCCGTTTCCGCATTGCCATAACCGACAGGCACAAGAAGTCTTTTTGCGTGGCTTCTGGTGCGAAGACTCGTGGACCATGGTTTCGCTGTTCATTGAGGTGTTGTGAGTTCATGTGAATTCTCTGCCAGGCCTGGAGACAGCTCAGAATTTTGAGCTACAGTGTGCGCTAACTCAACCACTCGATCCTTCGCGAACGACCTCCGCTCAGTGGGCAGCCCGTCTTGTTGGTGATGTGGAGCATTGTAGAGCAGAGTGCCACTTTGGATTTCATCGAGACAGATCATGGAGCGGTAGAGTACACGTGAGTGCATGGTCCCGGCGACATCCCTCAAGCTACTTCCGTGGATGAACCTGCGCTAGCCCCAGCGATGTGGTGCATTTTGAGCTGCGTGTGGATTAGCTGTCGAAACCAGTAGCTTCAATATAGGCGGGTGGCAAAAACACTGGGTGCATGCACTTTCCAGATGCTGGAGATGTCGTTTGACGCATGTTCCTTGAGGCCAGTGCCATCACCGAAGCCTGTAGCACCTTGGCATGGTGTTGAAACAACGGCCTCCTCCTTCATCGCTTCAGTCGGAACATCTCAGAGTTTTGGGCGAACCGTCCTAACTTCCGGCATCAGGGCGCGGGAAGACGCATCCTGCCATGATGTCAGGCTTTGGGCATGCAAAAGGCCGACTCATCGCCGACAACTCCTCCAAGATCACATGCTACAAACGCTACCCTTCCATCGACCCTTTGGACTCGGATTCCTTGCCGCAGCGTTGGCACTCTACGGTCCCCATGTTGGCTTCAAGAAGTTTGCGTTGCCGGAAGGTGCGGTGCAAGCTTTTTGGGGCCAAAGAGCCTGTAGGCCCAACTAGTTAGTGAACTAGCTTTTACATGATCATGTTACTAGTATGTTATGTGTGTCAAGGGCAAGCACCGATGGATGGGCGCTGTCACGACTGATGAATCTGAACTTGCTCCACAAGTAGCCCCCAGTCACCAGTCCAGAGGTTAGCCTTGCGGTGGGGAATCAGGCCCTTGCCCCTCCCTCAGCCGGTTAATCCCCTGGACCATTGGTGGATTTTACAAATGTGCTGTACTCGTATGACCGCACTGGTACTCCATGCAGTCTTTGCTATGGTCAGTGCGTTTGAGCAGAGACCGAGGAAGAGGGGGGCAGTTTCCACCTTGTGGCTGTCGGGGAGACAAACGAAGCTTCCACCGACATTGTCCCGTCCACAGCTGCAGGCTTGATTGACTGAAGGCTTCTTCAAGCAGGTCGATGATCATATGCTGTCAGCTTGTCGTGCTGTGCAGACCCTGTAGGCCAAGGTAGCTTTGTGATGCGCTTGTGGGGGGGGGGGGGGGGCATCCTTGAATACCTCTGCCAGGGTTGGTCCAGACATTCTGGGTGGTGCCTGTCGATGGCCTTGCGCCTGGGTGGTGGGCTGTGAGCCAAGACCTGGACCGGCGAAATCCTGATGCCTTAGTCTTAGCGTGGAGGCTGCGGAAACTCGAGAGGAATCCGGAGCCTTGTTGGTGTCGTCGAAGTTGCTTCAGTGCATTGTTGCAGTGCCGCTGTAGGTCGTGCAAACGTAGCGTGTCGACACAGCTTGCAAGAGTACAGGTTGAGCTTGCCACCTCCGCAGGACGGACCTGCGCCCATGCTGCCTTGTCCTGATCTGGTCACCGTCTCGCGCAGGCCCCGTGTAACTCAATGCGCTTGAAGCGATCGTGTGGCCTTGCAGGTTGAAGTTTGGGGTCTATACTGGCGTCATATTATCTCCAATCTTAAGGGGCAGATGCCGTTCTCCTGACCAGACATAATTATAGCGTAGCGTGGTAGGTTTGCAGATTCGTCGCGGCAACCTTGTCCACACAGGACCACGCTGCGTGCCGCTTTGGTGCAAAGAAGCCACCAGCCCGGGTGGTGTGTCCGCCAACCCTGTAGGAGCAAGGGGAAGGCTAATGCGAAAGAGGTTTAATTTAGATCCAACTCAGAATCATTCTCATCTTGTGACCGCACTTGCAACCCACTGGTCAGTAGGCATCATTTTTGCCAGATCGTCTGCGACAATTTACAGGCATATATTCTCCGGCTCTAAGGAGATGTCTCCCTGTTCCCTTGGCCTGTCCGGTCGTTGGTGGTGGTTTCATCTTGCACCTGCCGGCGTGGGGAGCAGCTGTGCCTTTGCTGAAGGCTTTTCCACGCTTCGGTTGGGAACTGTCCTGCTTTCCGACATTGTGTGCAGAACAAGCCACGTCATTCCACATCCTGAGGTGAGACGCGGCCAAACTCAAACAAAAAACGGTCGTCCGACATCAAAAGCGACGACGTGACCTCCTTCTGTGTCTATGCCTACATTTTGGAGTTTGGGGGTGCGATGTGCGAGCGGGATTCGTAGGACGTGGTGTAGCTGAGTAGGTTGGGCTCCAAAATCGGGATTGTCCGGCGTGGAAACTTGTACACTAACAGGGAGTATCTACAGCCAATGTCAAGCCTTGCGGCACACTTTGTCATGAACCCGTCCTGCCAGACAGACTCGGCACATGTTGTGACGCTCAACGGGAGGCGCCAATGTTCCTGATGGTTTTCTCTGCCCTGTTGTATGCAACAGCGATCGGAGACCTCTGGGGGAGGTTCAGTGCCAGGTGCGGTGCCTGTCGCATTGTGAGTTCCAAACTGCGGTTGCGGTGCAGCCGTAGATACCCCACTTAAGAACCACATCGCAAGCACATGGTCGCGCTTGTGCAGGATGGATCATGGTCCATCACACTGAAGTGCCGACAAACGCACAAGGTGCCGGGCTTTGAACTTGAACCAACCGTTTAAAGATTGCAAGTTTGGAGTTTTGGAGCTTGACGTTGCGGGAACCTCAGCAGCAGTTGCACCTGGTCATAACTTATCATTACCCACGTCCGACCGGCGCCAGGTCTGCGTGTCTGGGACGTCACCAGCTCCTCGGCAAGCGTAGTCAAGGATTCAGAAAGCGCAGACACCAAGACAGTTGGTGGTTTTGCATTGACTGTTTCCCAATCTGCTTACTTTAGGGCATTCCGTAGCTGGGTGAGCTATGAGACGTCTGTATAGCAGTCTCCGAATTGTGGCGCAACTGCGAAGGGGATCTTGGAGGGTGCCAGATGTTTTGTTTCTGCGTGGATGTCCTGCACCAAAGTAGAACAATCAAACAACAACACCAATGATATTCCTTGATTGCAAACAGGCCAGCACGCACATATCTCTCTGTCGTGTGAAGGTGTACGTTGACAAGGATGGCAAGAGCGCCTTTGGCAAAAGACCTTGTTGGGCTTTGAAAGGGCACAAAATCTTTGAGCGGTAGGTCTAAAGTCCTGGTACTTGTGAACAGCAAGGGGACCCCCGACATCCACTGACCACATGAAAGACCTTTTCCAACCTAGGCCTGCAGTTGTCCGGCACGATTCCAGATGGGAGCCTTGCAAAAAGTGGGGACTCAGTCAGACGTCTGCAACTTCAACGTGTCCCGCTTGGCTTGCTACCTAACCTTGTCGCTCGCTTGAGCATGTGAATCCCTGGAGCAATCCCTATGGAGCTGCGCCGGAGGGTTTTGTAGTAATTAACGGATTCTATGATGGTAGGGTAGGAATACACCAGGAACTCGGAGTGCGACCTCTTCACCCGCAGAGGGAAGAAGTGCGGTGCCCTTTGCGCAGCTCAAGGCAAGAGGGAGTATTGTTTTGAGCGCGGAGGGCGTGCTTTGGTTGCTTAACGCCTATTTGACGTCTGTGCGTTTCACGACATGTAAGGGGGTTGCCCGGGACGCAGCTTGGGTGCTGGTGGGGTGCGCTCTGGTGGGTGATGGTGGGTGCTGGTGCTGGTGGGTAGTGGTGGGTGGTGGTGCATGGGTGTTGTGGCTCTGTTGTAGTGGGTGGTGGGTGTCGCGGTGCGTGGTTTGGGGTGTTGCGGGGCTTCGGATCGTGGTTGTATGTATGCAAGGAGACGATTTATTTCATTGATCCACTGATCCTTACAGAGCCGCACTTGCATATTCCATGATAAGCGGTGAGGTTGTGCTGCAGGTGTTGTGAGTGTGACTGGTATGTGGCTGGGCGTGTGGAGGACAAGCTTCCAACAAGGCCTCCCGGCCCCCCCCCCCCACCAAAATTAAAGAGTCTGACTTCCAAACCATTCCAAACCCTTCTAAGCAGCACCCCCTGTCACCCCGGAAGCTGTTGTGCCATGCCCTTGACCACGCACATTGCGCAGGCGAAGTCTCCACGGGGCAAGTGAAGTGCAGCGACTTGGCTTCACATACCAGGAAATCCTGCTGTAACCCCGAAGCACGAAAGCCTTGAAAGCCTCCGCCATTCGTTCCTAGTCTTAGCTGGGCTGCATTTCATTCTATAATCGATCAAAAGATTGAACTGCGGCACGGGCGTTGCAGTCTTGGGTACGCCAAGGAAGGCGTGGGAATCGCGAAGCTGAATGGGAGGCCTGAGCCTGTACTGTGACATGCTGGATCACAATGGAACCACGTTGGAAGAGTTTTGCTGATCGCGCACTGGGCTCATGCATGTTGCAAGTTCTTGAACCTTTCTGCCGTGAAATCCTGACACTGCATGGCACTACAAGGCATTGCGCAGTTTCGAGTGCCTCCCGGCCACTACCGACGAGTTGGTCGAACAGCCGAGGAGCCCCCCCCAAAAGGCCGAAAGGCTAAACCAAACTAAGCCCAAGCCTGACTGGCTTGCCGGATCTGGGCACGCTGCATCGGGCCTATAGGCTCCATGAAGCCCCTTCTTCGGACCAGGATCGTTCGCATGGAGCCGGGCGTGGACAGCATCCAGATCACGGCGGACTTGATAAAGGATCCTTCCAGGATCCGGTCTCCGGTGGAGACGTGTCCCGGATGCTTTCGGAAGATCTTGGTCTTCGTCGCATTGGCTTATGCACTGTAATCCGAGCACATTCAAAGATTTTTTTTGTTGAGAAGCCCGCCGGACGACTACTTTGCATTATGGGCCAATACCGCCACATTTGAAGAAATTGTTTCGGAGGGGTTCCAAAATCAGTCGGCAGGCTTCTTGTGTTGCTTGCTGAGCTGCGAAGCTACAGCACCTCAGGGATCCGCAGCCTATTGCTTTTAACAGAGAACCATTACATTGCCATGGTCTTATCATGGTGGCGCCCTGCCTTTCTTATTCTGTCGGAGGGCGGGGGGCGGGGGGGGGGGGGGGGGGGGGGGGCAATTAAACAGGTGCTCGGATTAGATTACTCGTGGGGGACATGGGAGATGAGGGGATGTCACACTCATCATGATGTGACTGGCATGTAGTGCCAAGGTTTTTCTTCCGTGAGACGACTGGCACAATGAGCTGTACTTTGGCAGAGCCATGGGTCGGGTAGAGATACCAGCATTGACGATCCTTCACAGTGCAAGCGCTTTGTTTTGTTTGAGGCTACGACAACAGAACAACATTGAACGCCGAACCATTGGCTTCTCAAAAATGCTTCAACTTCTTGGGTTGAAGAGTCCCCCGCCCGAGGCACGACCCTTTACAACGTCTTGGAGCTGACCAGGACTGTTGACCGCAGGGTAGGACTGTGGTAGCGTGAAGTACGAGCACATGGCCGTCCCAAGCGTCTACTCTGGCCAGCTTTGCTCGCCAAGCCGTTTCATATGCCATGACATGGCAGGAATAGCCAGAATGATGAGCCGGACGACCCTGACGAAGATGCCGAAGATGACGAAGAGCCAGGGCAGGATCCTGACAGTGGAGGGGAGCCTCGGCATCGATCAAGAGGCATGGGCTGTCAGGGGCACAGGTACTGGTCCTTCTGGCTACTTGTGGTTTGAATACTGACATGCTAAGGTCTCCTGCGACGCCGATGCTGATTTTACACAGAACCTCGTATCGCTTCATCTTGGCGCGCAGAGAGGGCCTTGCGAGCTGTGAGGGTCCTCCTACTTTCTCTTTTCGCGCAACGAGTCGACAAGAGTTCGGTGACTCGATGTATATTCAATGTATATTCAGGATTCAGGTTATTTCAGGGCATCGCCTCAAGGAACAGCCAGTGCTTTCCGGGCAACGACAACGTTAGCTTGTGACTTAGCTGCTATGGCTGCTGTGGCCACGCCTGGCTCTTCTTGCGAATGGCCCCAGAGCCGTGACATCCTCCCTGAAAACGGGACTAGGCTAGGCTACAAATCAGCACAATGCGAATCAAAGAGTCAAAGACGCGCGAAAAGCCCAAAGCATTTTTGTCACCCCAACCGCCGTAAAGTCCGGCGAGCTGCCCAGCAGCTGTTGGAGCTTCACAGCGTTGCATTAATGCCAAGGAAGGGGAGCCACACAGAAATACCTTGAAAGGCGTGCCAACAGGTGAAGACGAGACACCTGTTTGTTGCATCTTCGTTTTTTGTCCTTTTTCTGGCTTCGTCAAGCAGTCAAGTCGCCAGCCGGCGGTTCTCTTCGTGTTAGTGACGCATGCGCTGCAGGTGCGCGGCTTGCACTGGTCAAGATCTGGAAACGCGGGATTGCTGGTCCAGTGGGCCCCGCCACCTGATCTGAGTTGCGTAAACGATCCGAGCGGAAGCTGGGGGCGCCATCTTGGATCAGAAGAGTAGGGCGACCCTTGAAATTTCTGGATTCTGAGGCAGCCGGGAGTGTGCCAACGACCCGCGAAGTGGAGACTACCTGAGCTGCCCCTTCACTGGCCACTGGACCCGAAGATGGGGAGGGGGCTTTCAGTGTCAGAATTTCAGGACGGGCGACATGCCATGTAATCCTTATCCTCCAGCGCCCAACAATCACCCGAATCACCGCTTCCTTTACACCTCCCCCCCGCCCACTTTCTGTGCCTCGAGGCCACTTCGATGGGAAGGCCAGGCCTCAAATCCCCAAGTTTTCGGGCATCCTCGCATGCTTTCACAAAGGCATCCATTGAATTGGACATGTGCTGCTTGGATTATGCGCGTGCTTGCATATCCCACGATCCTACTATGTCGGTTGAACTCCCAGCCTAGCCAGGCCAGCACCTTGCACACAGGGCTTTTCAATTTGTGAATGCGATCCTTTTAATCTGGAGTCTGGAGCTTTAAAGTGCTTCTACTTGTAAGATTCATGTAGAGATGGAGTGTTCATTACCTTGCCTGTTGGAGCGGAGAATGGAATGCTGCATTCAATTCGCTAATTCGTTCATCGCCATTGGCGAACTACAAGGCCACGGTGGAATAATTCGGAAGACAGGAGAAGGATGATAAAGGGAGCCTAACTGATTTCTTCCCTTCTCTTCTTCTGCGGCGAGGCATAAACTCGGAACGGATAGTAGGACACGAAGCATGCCCGGGCTGCTCGTCTCTTCCCCACATTGTTCATTCCTTCACCCGCCTCCCATGTCAGAGGAAGCAGGCTGCAACTTATCTGTCTCTCGCCACGACTAGTCTTGGGTTTTGTTTCTGCATTTCCCCTTTCCTGCATTTTACTTATTTTATTTTGCACTGTTGCTTTACAAATAGAACTCAGTTCTTCTTTTTGGGGTGGCCCAGCACTGTTGTCCAAGCAACGCAACCCAAGACATCAAAAGGAAAAGCCTTCCCAACTGCTGAACGAAAGCTTCCATGATAGCTAATCGCGCGCGCTGTGTCCCCCTAATATTTTAAGTTTCCAGAGTTCTTACAAATGAAGGTTGCAACCAGAAAGCGCAGTTGGCATTTTGCATTTCAAAGTCTTATCTTGTGTTGAAGTTAAAGACTAAGAACAGAGATTTGACTTATCGTTCAAAGCTTTTCACCAGTCACTCGTTTACCTTAAAATTTTGGAAGCTTTGATAATTGTTTAAGTGTTTGATAGTGAACCGTCTAAAGCCTTGAACAGTATGCCATTTCTTTGTGGAAAGTGGTTTTCGACAGCGGATATCCTCAGTCCCCCCGGGAAAGTCTCGGAACCAGGAAATTGGGTTTGAAGTGTTTACTGTCCCCTTCAAGATTTGTAACAACACAGGAAAGCAAACATGCGCTTGTTTTGCAGTTGGCTTTCTTTGCGATAAAATACATCGACTAACTTCTAAGTACCCAAACCTCCTGTCAAATGGAGCAGAGGTTCATACGTACAGCTGGTACTGTCCACTCCGTTACAGCTTGAAAGCTCGAGCCCGCAATCCGAACAAGCAGAAAGCTGCGACTCTGCCACAGCGGGGCAGGAAGTGTGCTTTGCAAAGCCGCCGGATGGCTATTGCGTGAAGAAGGCCGGTGTGGGGCTTTTTCGGGTTAAACACCGTAGGATGCTGTCAGGGCACCTTTGCATTGTATAACTCCTTGACTCATTGACAAACCCCCACAAGTGATGATACGTAGCAATCTTCTGGGCCACAGATGTGGATGCCTGCATGTGCGCATGTAGATGTCGGAGCATACCAGGGGCCCCAGCGGCCCTGACGCAGTTGACGAAGATCTCAGTATGTCCTTAGCCTTAGAAGTCCACGACCAGTTACTGCCTGTCACTGTATGTCTGCCAGAGGTGTGCGCCAAGCACGGAAGCAGCAAGTCCTGCAGGCAGCGTGGGTTCACCATGGCCATGGGCCTTGTGTCCAAGTCAAAAATTGCACTGTTTACACACTCATCGGTTCTGCTCTCTTCAAACGTCAAGACTTTTGAAAGTTCCACAACATCTTCAAAAGTTGCAGAGGGTCGATGGCATGCATCCTGAAAAGCATGCCCCGACGTGGTGGTTCCCGTGGAGAAACAAAGCCCTTACTTGAGGGGGGAATTGGCGCTGGAAGGAAGAGGGGTAGGGTTAAAGAACCTCACAGGTTGGTTTGGCGTCCTAGGTTTAACAGTGTGAGGGCTGGGAAATGCGGCACTGCGACGTGAAAGGCTGTAGTCTCCGGGCATTGGTTTCAGTTCCAGAGTTGCCAGCGCTCCAAGTCAGCAAACTTCTAAAGCCTTACGAGTTCTTACTGCTTCAAAAGTTCGCAACTAGCACTGATGGCAGGTGCAACTGCAGGGGTTGTTCAGGCCTGCTAGAAAAATCTTTTGTGTGCTTCGCTCTCGCGCCACAAGCACCTATTGGCTAAGAAGCAATACAGTGTGACTAAGTAAGTGGCTGGGTCAAACGCCCGGCCTCTTCCAGTTTGTATTGCGCAGAACGACGTTCGGCTGAAGTTTGGGGCACGCAAATGCCAAAGAAGCCGACTCTGGGTCCAGGTCCTATGACCCTCCGGCATCTGGTCAATTCTGCGTTGGGGATGCTGATGCGGAAGTTCCCATCGATCATGTGGTCATTCGGTACACCTGCTTCTCGATTTCAAGGTTCAGAAACCATTATACCCTTATGTCGGGCAGCTTTTCTTGAAATACTCCACCTGAAATCCCAGCCAAGGCTGCAACCCTAATCTTTTGACCTTCGCCGGCAGCTGCGGATTTGGCAGCAACAGCCCCTTGTCGCTTGATCATCGCTTGTGTTTGTCAAGTCGGGTGGGGCTGAGCGAGGAAGCACCGGTTTTTTGGCTGTCTCTGCTTCTTTCTCAATCTATTCCATGTACTACACGGTTGCTGAACCTTTGCTTGCAAGGTTCGCTGAGACCTCAGGTCCTCAGGTATTTCTCCCCTCCGCTGCCAGATCGTACCCCAACTCGGCTCGTTACTGATGATTCTGAAGTATTCTTCACCAGGTCAGACTGACCTAGTCAAGTGGACCCCTCACGAAATTTTGAAAAATTTTCTGACGACCCTGCAGGAGATGGGAAGGCCTGCCATGAGCATATGGCCATGTTAGGGTTTAGAAGGAGTTTCGGGTTCCTGGGGATGGGCATCGACGAGGTGGCCTATGCACCGCGTGGAGGGGCGATCTTATCTATGGGGGTTTCCGATAATCAGGATCCTAAATGTGGGCCCAACAAGGAACCCCCTCATAATCAGCTCAAGAAGGTGCCTCCCCATAGCAGCCCCTGTGGCGATTTCGCCTTGCTAAGAGGAGCAGCGCTGAGCAGGGATGGACATTCTATGCCAGGGTGGCTTTATAGTAGGATCCCCCATGGAACCCTACGTCCTGCGGGGTATTTGGGTACTGTGACCATGGGGAACGGATGAGGCCGACGCCTCCAGGGAGCCGACGGAAGCCAGATCGCCAACTTGATCGCCAAGTTTGAAGTAATGGCCGGAGCGAGGTGGGTGGGCATTCTGACATTCTAGCCTGTTGCACCTGTTTAGCAACTCCAGGCAGAGGCACCCTTTGGTTTCCTTGACCCATGACTTCAGAAGTCTTAGGACTATGGACCCCCAAGAATCATGACAGGAAATTCATGAACATTCCTAATGGCAACCGCAAACGCATCGCCAGATAGAGGCTTATAGAGGCTATGTAGAAGGATTTGGCCTCTTGAATGCTTCGAAACTCTTGTGGGTGCGCAGCTGTTCACTTTTGGAATCTGCGAGGAACCGCGCGGGTTCATCCTGGGGCCTCCCTGTGCCGCTTGCTTGCGGGCCCATCTCCCTGAGCAGCCAGATCAACAGGGGCAAGTTTGTGCCTTCGCCGAGCTCAGGGAAGTCATGCGATGTCGTGCGCGAATCCGGGGTTGTAAGGCTTATAAGGTTGCATTCTGCTGTTCAAAACGGACTGAGCATCAGCCAGTGCGTGTCAGGACTGCAAGTGATGCGTGTAACTTTCTTCTGAGAGAGAAGCTGCCGCAATTGTGTGGCCGAGGAGATTCCTGAGAAGTGCTCCAAGCTCTTGCCTGGTGAAAGCTGTGAAGTGGGCTGCAGCTCCGACTACATTCTACAAAGGAGCCGCATGGGTTTGGCCAGGCCAAGTCGCCATGTTCACCCGCTTGATGTGGTCTTGCTTTCACAGAACTGTCACGGCAAGCTGCTGCCTCGGAAGTTTCGCTTGAAAGCACTTACCTAGCCGTCTTTCGGCTGGTTTGCCATCAAGCCGTGACCCCATGCGGGTGCGAGACGCAAGGAAGCCCGACCAGGGAACTTTCACTTGCCAGTGGGGAATGAGCAGGCCAGGGCCTGAGATGTTACTGGGTTGGAGAAGTGTCTTGAATGGGGCCGAGAACGCGGCTCGAGGAGCCATCCCCACTCTGATCTTGGGCTGAAGTCCAGCTTCTTGAAGCTCGATGCTCCCATATGCCACTCATTGTCACACTGTGAGGCCTCTGGCTGGCACATTTCCTGAATGCCTCAGAAAGCCGCCCCTCGGCCGAAAGCTCGGCCTGGAGCAGAGAAGTTTGCTGCGGGCCCTTATTTTCGGGTCCTTATGGCTCGGTAAGAGGTTGCAGTTTCATCGCTGGCCTGTCTAATCTTGATTTAATCATTTAATCTATAGCCCGGCTGCCGCTATCGCCGTGAACCGCAAGGAGCGGACTGAACCTCGCGGAGGGCAAGGCCCGGAATTCATTGAATTGAGGCCACTTTCAGCCGCAAGCAAGGCTTGTAAGCAAGGCTTGCGAGCACTGATTAGTTACTGTCGTTCCTTTCCTGTGGCATCCAACACTTGTACACCTCCAGCTGCTCACCGATGCGGGAGTTGTTTGCCTGAGCTCTGCTGTCGGAGGCTCAAGCTGCAACCACTACCACAACCACGCTCATCCCACCACTGTGTGAAGTTTGTTCAGAGATCGGCAGCTCGGCAGCACCAGACATTCAGGTGCCGGCGGCCTGTTGCCAATCCCGAAATCCTGCCATGGGGATGTGAGGTGTTAAGGCGAAGGGCTCTGGACTCTCCTGCTTCAAGAGACCAGTAGAGCCTCGCCCACTGCCAGAAGAATCGAAACTTGGAAGCCCCGCAAGCTTCAGCCGCGTTTGATTCGCTACACTTTGTTTTGGTGATTTCTGCGTCTCACCAGGCAACTACGCAGACAAGCGCTTCGAGCAATGTCGGTTCTGGGGTGACCCTCACATCACCAAAAGCTGGCGCCCAAAGACGCGCTTCAACTTCCAAGGCACCGGTCGGACCATTCCTGGGTTTGAGGGATTCTGGACTCTATACCCGAAATAGCTTCAGTGCATTTCAGTGCTTTGTTTGCCTTGCTTCTGACTTCAATACGTTACCTTTCCTTCGAGGCTCCAGGCAAGATGGACACCGTAGCCGGGTTTCATGTAAGCTTCAACCAGGCCCTCACCGAGCAATCAGACCTAGCCGTAGTTTCAGGCCCGCTGCTAGTCTGTTCGTGTCCGTGGCCCGTGGTGCGTCCTTCTTTTTGCTCGTTGCTGCTGAGATACCGGCATTCACCGCTACGCGCGCGCTGGCCAGTGCGCGGGCAACTTCGAGCTGCACGTGTTTCAGTGCACGCCGCACCGCATGTAAGGGAGGGAAGGAGGGAGTTCCTGAGTCCCGCAGTCATGTAGTGACATTCGTGAGTGTCACATGTCTTTCTTTGTGCCTCAGAGGCCACTCTATGAATCTCCACTCCGCGGCAGGTCAGTACAACAGAGGGAGGAACGCAGTGGCTACAGGCATTGCTGCCAGGCGCCTCGATTCTTGCTGCGCATCTGAGCCAAAGACAAAAGGGGATTTAGGAAGAGAGAGAGCGAGAGATAGAGAAGAAGGAGGAGGAGAAGGAAGAGAGCGCCGCCTCGGCAGCCGGGCCGGCCCCAGGACAGGAAAGGAGGAAAGAGTGTTTTGCAAAGGTTGGGGGGTGGGGGGGGGTGGGGGGGGTGGGGGGGGGGGGTGGGGGGGGGTGGGGGGGGGGGGGGGGGGGTGGGGGGGGGGTGGGGGGGGGGGGGGGGGGGGGGGTGGGGGGGGGGGGGGGGGGGGGGGGTGTGGGGGGGGGGTGGGGGGGGGGGGTGGGGGGGGGGGGGGGGGGGGGTGGGGGGGGGGGTTGGGGGGGGGGGGGTGGGGGGGGGGGGGTTGGGGGGCGGGGGTTTTTGAGGCACTTTCCCTGTAGGAGCCACGACAAGCGGGACCCCACGGCATCGGTTTGCAGTCCTCCAAGGGATTTGGGGCGGTCCCACAGGGCGGGGGGGGGGGGGGGGGGGGCGAATTAGAAGGATAGAGAGAGAGAGAGACAGAGAGCGGTGGGGTGGACACAGTTATCCCAAAGTCACGTAGTGTCACGTAGTAGAGTCTAGCGAAGCTCCTGGTTATAGGGCGAAAAGCCAGTCTCACCATACACCTGTCGTGAAACGAGAAAGCACACCATCGACCTGCATAGCCCCAGCGGAGAATTCTGCAGTCCCCAATGGTTTGCCGTGTTTGTAGCCCAACACATGGCAAGCTGTTTCCACTGATCCCCTCCATCAAGCTGGCAAGCTCGGCGGGAGAGGACACCAGGTCACGAGCTTTAGGGCCTCCCACGCAGCCACACAACGAAGATGACGGAGCGGTGGAAGATGCAAGCCCAAACACGAGTTAGTCGGGACTCGGCGGCTGGGAGAACTCCTTCTCCACAGCAGGTGTGAACTCCAGCCTCCGCACGGCCACCCCGAAGACTAACACGGCTATAGGCGACAGTGTGGCCCTCACACTCCGGTGCACCCCCGGTTATCCGAAGCTGCAACTGCGAGTGTTAACCTCGGCTGGTGGCAGCGTCGTTGGTGCTAGAACAGCTGTATCATTTTTCCCAACATCGGACGCACCTCCACCTGGTGGGTAGGTGCCTTTTTGTGGGATGAGAGAGAGGCAGTCATGATCACTCATGTATACGTGGTGGATTGGAGCCCCCTTCCCGACACTCCAGGCCGCACAGACTACCCGGTTCCGAGGTACGATCATACAGAGGCTCCAAGGAACTGATGGACGTCAGCTTGTTGCAAAAGGTCATGGGTTAACTGGGTAACCAACCTCGTTGGTGACAACCCAGCCCTAACATTTGTCGCTCAGCATCCTTAGCAAAGCTTCCCAAACGATCGCTGAGCTCCCCAGTGTCCAGGTTGAATGGGAACGGGACGATTTTCATCAGCGACCGCCGGGTGGAGACCAGCGGCCGTGTTTTCGCCACCAGGATTCAACACATGCAGTTTATAGAAATGTTCCATTCTTTAGCGCTTCTCCTTTAGCGCTTCTCCTGCATATTCTGCAATACACCGTCGATGTCCACACGGATTGGGAGAGAAGTGTAACTAAGTGGAGTACAAACACGTCGTCACAAAAGTCTGTGCGGTACTGTAAGTCCTAGCGCACTCCTGCACGTGAATCGCAGCGAAAATTGGAGTGTCGTACAGTATGTGAAGATTCTTCACTATTCACTTCCTTGGGTCCGGAGAACGTGGCCACGACCATGCCACGACCAAGACCGCACCACTCCATGGCCAAGTGTCGTTCACCACGACTGCTTACTTTTTGGCTGGTGCAGTGAAATGATCTGATCAGGAACCAGGGGGAGTTTGGCCTGAATGTGCCGTGTCGTTTGGTGTGCCAGAAGTCTGAACTTCGCAAACGATCAGAAATGTGAGCTCGAGCGATCATGCGATACGGTTCCTTCCTGGTAGCGGAATGCTGTTTGGCCACTGTTTGGCAAATCGTTGGCTGCCAGACCTCACTGTAAACGAATTTGAAGCTTGGTCTTAAGGTGGAACCGGACTCTGGAACCATCTTGAACGACAGAGCCGGAGTGAACGTGCAGAGCCCGGGTCCCCAGAATCTGATGCCAGACTGTCAGATCGCTGAGCTGCTGCGCTGTTTTCAATTGGTGTACAGGTTGCTGTTGAATGCCAACATGATTGCTTTTGTTTTTTTGTGTTCGTTACGTTTCGTTGGGGCTTTCGTTGTCATTCCCTTTTTGAAGGGTGCTCACAGCAGGCGGGAAGGGCCCAACTCGAGTCTCGAAACCCTTGGAGTGCATTTGCCCTGACAGCTAGTGCGTACGCGAACCCCTGTCCATCTCTTATTTAACGTTACGCGACCCTTCGGCTGGGGCCGGCCGCCACTGCAGCGACTAAGCAATGTCGGGACGACAGGCTTCAGGTTTTTCATTAAGTCAGCACTACGGCCCCCAAAAAAAGCGCTTTAGGGCGGGATTTACAAGCTCTTGGGCCGGAGTTGGGTTTCAAGTTTGGCTCACGAGGGGCTGGGCCGGATTTGAGTCCTTTGGCCGGATTTGGGTTTCAAGTTTGGTCCACGAGGGCTCTTGGTCCGGACTTGAGCTTCAAGGTTGGCCCATGAGGGGGTGGTTAAGGAGGGGAGGGGGGAGGGGCGGGAAAGTAGCCAATATCAATAAGTAAGAAGGGGTAAGGGGATGGTAAGGGGCGAGTATGGGGAGTGGGGAGGAAAAAACGAGGTACAGCAGAAAACCCCTGGTCCTGATGCTCTGCCTGCTCTCGGACACCCGCTGACTAGGGGGGAGGAGGGGCGGTACCCATTCCAAGCAATAAATAAAGGGGCACAAAGCGGGAAGTGTGTTGGGGGGATTAGAGGTGGGGTACCTGCTCTAGCGCAGCCGGCTGAAGGTCAGGATGAATGCGTCTTCTTCAACGTCAACGTAAAGCAGCTCAGAAGCACATGTACATACGTGGCACACAGCATTATTGAGGGGAGCCGCTTGCAGCCATCCATGGCTGCGCAACTAAGGCGCATCACCAAGCAACCAGGCCTGCTGATGCGCGAACGGTCGTGGCGACTGTGGTCACTAGCTAGCCGTGGCTTAAACGCTGCATTGGCAGTGGCAGCACCAGCTGAAGTAGTCGTAGAACAAGCGCCCAAGCTACAGAGCGAGAAGCCAGCTGATGTGTTCACGCCTTCGAGAATTTAGATACAGTTCAGTTTAGTTTTGTTGGTCCCATGTGTCCCCAGACCCTGCTGAGAACCTCTGCTAAAGGTCACGACCAAGACGTTAACTGGTATGCTCCCTACCATCCCTGGATGCTTTTTCCATGCCTCCACACGCAGTGCCCAAAGCAGTGCCCATGACAAGAGGCTTTCTCCACAATTTCAAGCTGCACCTTCTGGCGGAGGCGTTGCGCCGTGCCATCTGTCTTTCATGGCACGGACCTTCACAGCCTTATAAGCATAAGAAAGGACATCACGGCGGACGGGATCTGCGGCGCTGCCGACCTCAAGTCGCAGCAACTGAGCGGTGCATTAAGACCACTTGTAAGTCGTACGTCCTATAGTTCTGATGAAGCTCTGCACGAACGTGCTTGCTGCTCGAATCATATGTGTCAAGGGCAGACAGCAGACCATGACTTCACAGAGATGCAGAGATAGCGGGACCTTGAAACGGCTGCAGATACATTGCGCCAAGCTCTCCGGACATGATCTTCACTCCAGAACAACATCAATACCTGTGCCCCGGTTGACTTTTCTGGCTCGGTCTGCTTCTTTTTGTTGGTGCTGCTTCTGCTGTTCAGGGTGTGCTCAGCAGGATTCCGCGGTCTAGTGGCCTAATTCGTCCTCTTTCGACGCCGATCGGACCCTTCAAAAAGTCATGTGGCCATCTATACAGCCTACTTACGTATTGTAAGTTCTAAGTACGAGACAGGTTTCACCCGTCGGGCCTTTGACCCTACAGCGTCAAGGCACTTGTCATCATGGCACACACCGCACGGAATTGCGGGGTTGCCCAAAATGCCGCAACTAGGACCCTTCAGTTTCAGACCGTCGCAGGGAGCCCTCTGACAAACCTACATGGCTTTCTGCCAGGTGCAGCCAGTGTACTGGGGCAGGCGACGCTGGTTTGGACGGCTTTTTGTTTGCTGTTTCTGTTCAAGCCCTTGATCGCTTCGCCCTGTACTGTTCAACGCACACCAATCACAAACCTAATCCCCTAGTACGTAATTTGGAACGATTTCGCCCGGGTATGTTGATACGGAAAGGACCCTCTGCAACATATCGGGCAGAGATGTCTGTGTCTGCCAGCTCGCTGTTCAGGGTTCAGGACGAACACCTGTCAACGCAAGCCCACACTCGGAAGGGTTGCAAGGTGTTGGCCTTTGAGTCTTTGAACATCAGCTCATCACACTGAGTGCGATTGTCTGTAGGTGCCACACTCCCTCGCGGCTGTGGATCTTCTTCTGGGTCCACACCTCCAAGCATTCCTTCAGGCAAGGTGCCTGACGTGGTCGGTGCACCTGTCAACCCGAAATCCTCAACTTCGGCTGTTGGATGTGAGACTTGCTCGGTTTCCTCACTGTAGCTTGTGCAATCGTGTGCCGGGAAGCCTGGTATGCCTGGCACTGTTTTTTGCTTTCCTACGTATAACCTCAGAAGCCTCCTGGCAGCCTTAGCTGTGTTCTGAGCTTCCTGGCGGCTGGCCTCCAGGTTGCGAGTTTCTGGCGCCATTGGAGGGCCTCGACCAGGCAGCAGATGGGCCATGGGCGTTTCCGGGTCTGACGCATGTTGCCTGCATGGCGCGAGTTGACATGACTCACGTGCACAACGCGAGTCCATCCTCAGAAGCATGATCATGCTCCCCCGAGAGGTGTGCACCACAGAAAACGATGGTCGTGTGGCCCAACTGGAGGACTACCAGTGAAGATATTGTGTCTGGTGTCGAATCCCTGGTTCTGCAAGCGGCCTCATCGCAAAGACACCATGTTGCCAATGCAGGACAACGGCCAGAACTGTGTTGTCTACGCCGTTTCTCGCTTTCAGTACTGCTTCCTTCGTGCGAGCTTCGGGGTCGGACCCACAAGTCCCTCAATGCTCCATGTCTTGGTGAGGTGCTCGAT